CGCTGCAGATGGGTCAGTTGATGTTTTCATTGAGAAATCCTGTTTGTCTTTCTCCTGGGCTGAGGCTCCTTGCCTGACTGGGTGCCAGTTATGTGAGCTGCTCTGCAGCCTGGCTCTCTCCTGCCATCTGTTTATAATATCTGCAGGTGTCTTACTGTACCCTGCTCTGCAGGAAGTGTGTATGATTTGAAATGAATGAATGAGCCACCATAAGGAAGCTTCCACCATAATTTAGTAGGGAGTCCTTCACTGCAGAGGGTTGGACTAGATAACCCTTAGGGGTCCCTTCCAACTATACAGTGATAATTCCCTTGGCCTCCTGCTGCTTGGCTCACTTGCTGGAGCCATTTCCTCCTGCCCAGAGCAGGTTCCGAGTTGGCTCTGGCTGGTGTTGCAGGAATTTATGTATAGGTTGGGGGGGTTGCCCCTCCAGCAGATATCATGCACATGCAGCCCACTACCAAAACCAGCACAATCCCTTTTGAGACTTTTGTGATTTGTCCCCACAAAACACTTCATCACAGTTTCTTCCTATCTATTCAAAAGGCCTTTGCTGCACAATACCAAATGTAAGAATTCACTGATAAATGTTGTCTATGTACTGGCTCACTGGGAAAACTTCAAAAATTCCTATTGACATGTGAGCTCAGCTCCTCAGCAGCCCCTCTGCCTGTGTGATAATCCCTGGCATCCTGGTACCTGAGGGCCAGACAGGTAGCCATTCCAGGAATAACAAACCCAGATGAAGACAAGAGGGTGTGATGAACTTGGCTGGGAAACAGGGAAATGTAAAGATCTCTTTTGTTACACTTGATGGGTGTTTGGTGGAGGGCAAGGGGAACCACGGGGCAGGGTCCAGGATGCTCAGATTCCTGCCACCAGACCTCCCCTTTCATGATGTAACCGTGATGTATGAATGATGTAGTTTGGGGGGTGTAACATGGGGATTATCAGCTAATAAAAGTTTGGGGGCTCTTTTATTCGGGGCTTCCATCTTGTTCCACCTGGTGGCAGGTGGGAGTCCTGTCATGACCGTCTTCAATAAAGATCAAGCCTACTGGCTGCTGTTTTGCTCTGGTATTCCTGGCTGGTGTCCTTGGTTTTTGTCCAAGGGAGCCCTCAGATTTCTCCGTTAACACTGGTGTGGCTCCTCCTTCTGGGTCTGAGTCTGCATGTGTGGCTCAGGTGGGGCAGAGAGTTGGAAGCAGGCCTTGGCGTCCAGAATGTCCAAGGCGCCTCCCCCCTGGGTGTCGGCTTCTGCTTCCTTGGTGCCCCCTCTCTGGCCTCTTGGACTTTGGCGGATTCTTCCCAGGTTCTCTGGCTTTCTGCCTCCCTTTCTCAGGCGCTCCTGGCCAGCCCCCCAAGACGCTTCTGGCTAATGATTAGCTCCTTGGAACAATGCAGCCTGTATCCTGCCGGCTTCTGGGCCAGAGGCCAAAGGGGGGGGGCAATGGCAGGAGGCTCTTTGTCTGCCCAGGCTGAGCTGCTGGCGCCCCCTCCAGGAGGGCACTGGCACTGCTCTTGTTGAGGCCTAGCTGCCACTGCTGCCTCTTGCCTGTTTCTCTGGGGTACCCATTTGGAGTATAGGGGGCCGCTCTGGGTGCAGGTGTGGACTCCGAATAACAGGCATCTCCTGCTGGGGGGCAGGCAAACTCTGGTGTGTGTGGGGGGGAGGAGCAGCACTCCTTATCCAAGGGAGTTTTGCAGCCCTCCACCCAGTTAGGTGAGGGACACGGGTGGCACTGTGGGTTAAACCACGGAGCCTCTTGGGCTTGTCGATCAGAAGGTCGGTGGTTCAAATCCCTGCGACGCGGTGAGCTCCCGTTGCTCGGTCCCTGCTCCTGCCAACCTAGCAGTTCGAAAGCACGTCAAAGCGCAAGTAGATAAATAGGTACCGCTCTGGCGGGAAGGTAAATGGCATTTCCGTGTGCTGCTCTGGTTCGCCACATGACCCGGAAGCTGTACGCCGGCTCCCTCGGCCAGTAAAGCGAGATGAGCGCCGCAACCCCAGAGTCGGCCACGACTGGACCTAATGGTCAGGGGTCCCTTTACCTTTACCCAGTCAGGCTGATGACCCTCCTTCTCCACGGTTGCTGAGAAGCAGGAAGAGGGAGGCTCCTTACAGACCAGATCTGGCTTGTTTCTCTCTTTACACCCTGCCCCCCCCCCGCCCTGTGCCCTGTCTCAAGCCCCCCGGGGCCAAAAGGCAAGAGAGCTGCAGGACTCGGCCCCAGAGCCAGAAGACAGCGCTGCAGCGTTTGCGGTGAAAACATGGTTGTGCCCCCTGAGCATATGCAGAGTGCTTTCCCTCTTGCCCTGATGAGGGCAAGGATGTCTGCAGTAGGTTCTCTCTCATCGCCAGAGGGCAGTCAGTGTCTGCTTTGCATGCCCTGGGTGGGGCTCCCTGTGTCTTGGGGGAAGCAGCAGCCAGAGGCAAATCCTGGACAAATATTGACCTTGGCTGGTAGCTCAGGAACCTGCCCTGGTGGGGGGGGGGGCAGGGCAGGAGAGCCTGGGAAAGGAGCTGGCTTTTCCTGCTGTCATACCCTCCTCACCCAGTGATTTGGGGGGGGGGGAATGGGCGCCAACTGGCTGGAGGGATGGGCTGGGAACGTGTCTTGGGGGGTTGCACCAGCCCTGAGTTGGCGTTGAGAAGGATGTGTGCGTCTCTGTCTGTGTGTTGATGGAGATGAGAGCTAAGGTGTGGCCTCGCCTCTGGCCTGGACGCCAGGTGTGGCCCTGGGCAAATCCAGCTCAGCTTCCCTCCTGAAACAGAGCTGCGCTGCCTTTCATTTTTCACAGTTCCAAGCAAAGCTCACTTGCTGGGGGCAGGTCCTGTTTCTGGGTGGGGGGTTTTGTTCCCAGGTTAGTCCTTGCGGTTAATCCTAAAGTTTATTCCTGGAGTCCTTGGGAAAGTGAAGGAAGGGGGAGGGCGACAGGAGCTCTGCCACCTGCACTTATCACTCTGAGCTCGTGGGGGGGGGACTATCTAGGGGCAGATCCTCTGGCCCCCCTGCAGAGAAATCTTAGAACTTAGACCCCCAGAGTCATCCAGTCCAACCCCCTGCAATGCAGAAATCTCAGCTAAAGTGTCCATGACAGATGACCACCCAACCTCTGCTTAAAAACCTCCAAGAAAGAATAATCCCCAACATCTGGAGGGAGAGCGGTCCAGTGACGAACAGCTCTTACTGTCAGAAAGTTCTTCCTGATGTTTAGTGGGAATCAACTTTCTTGTCACTTGAAGGCCATGGGTTCGAGTCCTACCCTCCAGAGCAGGAGAAAACAAGCATGTTCCCTCTTCCCTGTGGCAGCCCTTGAGATATTTGAAGATGGCTCTCATGGCGCCTCTCAGTCATCTCTTCAGGCTAAAAAGACCCAGCTCCTTCAACCATTCCTCATCAGGTTTAGTTTCCAGCCCCTTGACCATCTTGGTCCCTCTCCTCTGCACAAGGAGAGGGAGTTGGGTGCTGAGGTGGCTCATAGGAACAGAAGGAGCCAGGCAGGCTTTGAACTGGGGAGGGGGTGCCGTTAGTGTGTGTGTTGGGGAGGGCTTGATACAGCCTGGGCCTGAGGCTATAATTGGAGGCCTGGGGGGCGGGCATTGCAAGCCTCATTCAGTCATAGAAATAGCATCCAAGTCTTGTACCAGAAATAGCCCCGGGGGAGTGAGGAGAGTGGGCAGCTGAGGGGCAAGGAGGGGCAAAGCCTTTCTGCCCAGCTCAAGTGAGGAGCCCTGTAATATTATAGGTGATTTGCCACCTGACCAGGTTCAAAGTGTTACTAGCCAATGTACCTGTAATATCACCGTAACCCCATATATGCCCACTTGATCACTTGACTCAGAAGAACTGGCACTGCTGCAGGTGATGCCAATTCCACATGTGTAAAAAACTGATCATTTAATGTGACATCATCTACACTTTGGAACTCCCTGCCCATTGACATCAGACTGGCATCTTCACTGTAATCTTTTTGGGGCCTGCTAAAACCATTCTTGTTTCAGCAAGTGTCCCCAGATATGTAGGATTTTGGTGTATGTTTTCAATCTGTTTTCTCTCTCTTTTGAATGTTTTAGGAGTTGTTACTTGATCACGTCATTCTATTCATAAACCACTTTGAGGTTTTTTTGAAAAACGATCAAACAGTGCATATCTTTTATACAACAAGCAAGCCAGCAAATAAATAACTCTCTCTTCTCCCCCTCCCCCATTGGTTGAGCTTTCCTGTGCCTCAGTTTTCACCCCTGGGAATTGGGGAGTATGCTGGAAGGGATCTCTTCTGCCTACTTGTGTGCCCCGTGTGTGATGGGGTGCCAAGGGTTAACCCTGCTGGGCTGGGCTTTCTCTGGGCACCCTGCCTCCCTCCCTCAGTCAGGAGGCGTCCACCAAGGGGCAGAAGGAGTCCCAGCTGTTCTCCCCCACTTCTGCCACCGCAGCTGCCCTCCTCTCTTCCCAGGCTGGCCTCCCCCACCCCACCCCCGCCTGGTTGGAGTGGTTTCTCCGCTTGGCCGGTGGGAGCTCTGTGGGCAGGGAAGGCGCCCCCACCCCACCCCTCTGCTGCCAACTTGAAGGAAACTTTGATGACAGCAGTGGCGGCTCCTGCTTGCGCTCAGAGGCACGGCTGCTCCCTGGGGCTCTGGATGACGAGTCTGTGGGCTGGCCAGCCCTGCTCCCCTCCCTCTCCTGCTGCTCTTGCTGCTGAGTCAGGCCTGGCAGTGCCCACCCCCAGTGGGTGGGGGAGCTCCAAGGCAGGCGCAGAGGTTGTAGTAGCCGGCATGTGCTCTTGCCCCTCCCGCTCTCAGCTGCTGGGGGAGGAGGAGTTCGCAGGGAGCTTCAGCTGCCTTCTGTGAGCTTGCCAGGCTGAGGTTCCTGGGGAGGGCGGTCGGTCGGATCCTTTCCTCCTTGCTTCCTGTTGAAGGCAGCCAGCCGGCCAGACAGAGACTTTTCTGCCCCTTTGGAGAGCCAGGCTAGGCCTCCTCCTCTGCTGCCGCCTTCGCCATGGTGGCTGGCATGCTGATGCCCTTGGAGCAGCTGCGCTCCATCTATGAGCTGCTCTTCCGCGATGGGGTCATGGTGGCCCAGAAGGACCGGCGCCCCCACAGCTACCACCCCCAGCTGCCGGGCATCACCCACCTGCAAGTCCAGCGGGCCATGGGCTCCCTGCACGCCCGCGGCCTGGTGCGCGAGAGCTTTGCCTGGCGCCACTGCTACTGGTACCTGACGGATGAGGGCATCGCGCACCTGCGCCAGTACCTGCGCCTGCCGCCAGAGATTGTGCCCGCCACCTTGCAGCGCGTCCGCCGGCCCGTGGCCATGGCAAGGCCCGCCCCGCGCCCACGCCCGCCTCGCACCCAGACCGTGCCAGGCCCGCTGGCCTGCCCCCCGAAGCCCCAGGAGGCCTCACGCCAGGAGTACCGCCGGAAGGAGGAGCCTGCTGGGCACGTGGAGCTGGTTGCTGCCAGGGCAGTGCCACAGGTGGCCTCTGCTGCCCCTCCTGCTGAAGGTCAGATGCCCTCCTCGTGGGGGAGGCCTGGGAGCTATGGGGCAGGAGCTGCTTTGGGGGAAGTGAGCTGCAGCTGGGTGAGGGCAGAGGTGGTGGGTGAGTGGAGAAAGGTGAGTGTCCCAGGAATTGGGCATGATGTCTGGGAGGTGGGGGGGGCAGATGCAGTTTGGGGCCAAAAGCTCAGGGCTGTTCCCCGTCTTACCTTTTAGCTAGCACCCTTGGGTGCTTTCTTGATCCTTGGTGCTGCTTGTGTTGCTCCGTGATTGTGGGCTCAGGAGGAGGAGAACTTGGGGGGCTGTCCAGATCATTTGCCCCACATCCCCTGCAAAATCTGGGGTCAGAGGTTGCATCAGGGCGGGCTTCTCCATTCATTCTTCCATCCATTCATTGATGCTGGCCCAGTAAGGCGACCCCCTCCCGCGTTTCCACGTGCCTGGGATGAGCTAGAAGGAAGGGGGTGGGGGGTGGAAGGCGGCCGCGGCGAAGGGGAGGCCTTTGCCCCGGGCTTAGCTGGAAGTTGGGGAGTCGGCGCTTTCTGGGGCGCCCTTTTGCCGCCGGCACCTGTGCCACGTGGGTGTGAGCTGTGGGCAGGAGGCCCCCTGCCCTGTGCGCGTGTCGGGTGGGGGGTAAGTCCAGAGATCCGGCGTGCCTGAGGGAGGGGGCGCCGCCGCCGTGCTGACAGGTGGGCAGCAGCTGCTGCGCCGGGCTATCCTTAGCCGTTTCTTCGCGGCCACTCCCGGTGGCGGCGCCTCGTCTTTCTGCCTGCCAAGGTCAGAGCGAGGCCCCTGCGCTGCCCATGGACCCTGCTGCGGGGGAAGAGCCCCGGAAGAAGCGGCGCAGGGGGCGCCGCAGGAAAGGGGGCAAGTCGGACGAAGGTATCTTAGCGGTTGGGATGCGGGGCAAGGGGGCAGCAGGTGCTCTCGCCTAGACCGGCCTGGCTGCTTCTGCCCGCGGCCCCTGCGCTGGATAGAGCAGGTTGGATGGGGGGTCCTCTGCGCGTGATGGGGTGGGGGTGCCCATTTGTGCCCAGGGCGTGGGTGAGACCTGGCTCCGCGGCATCCCGCCCTCCACGTCGCTCCGCGCGCAGCCTGTGGGGCTGCCTCGCCCATCTTCTGGGCCTCCGGGCTGCTGGTTTCAGCTGGGGTGGGGAGGTCTCTGGAGGGCACTCCTCGTGAGGAGTGTGCGGGAAGGAAAAGCGTTTCTGCAATAATACCCCCCCCCCATGATGCCCGCGCCAGGCGCGCAGGGCGCTGTCCTGCTGGCGACCCTCCCCAACCCAGCTGGCCGCTCGCTTGCCGGGCAGGGCTGCAACGTGTCGGCCCTGCCTTTGCCGCTGCGAGGAGGCGGAGGGGCCGGGCATCAGCCGCCCCCCCGCCGGTCATGTGGGGGCTCCAACTTTCCGTTGCGCGCGGAAGGAAATGCGTCGCGCACCCGCCTCGTATTCCAGCAGCGTGAGTCACCGGCGGCGGCTCCTCCTCCCCCTCCTCTGGCCCTCCCGGGAGAGTTTGGTTGCTTTGGTCCTGGGAGAGAGCGAGGCCCGAACATCCCCCCCCCCGCCGCCCCAAGCAGCTATTTTCGTGGCGCTGTAGTGGGGACCCCCAGGTGGATGTCTGCCATTGCTAGAGAACTTGCTTCAATAAGCCCGCCCCCTGCCGCCCCCTTTGCCTGGGGGAGTCAAAATCAAGGGAGCGGGAGGGGGGGTCTCTTCTGCAGCACAGGCCTGGGGGGGCACCTCCTGTGGCTGCTTTTCCCCGGTGCAAAGAAGGGGCGAGACAGTGCAGTGGGAGGGAGAAGGAGGGCCGAATGGGGCTGCGCACAAAACCCCCTCCCCAGAGCAGAGTCCTGCCAGCTTCTTCCTGCAGGAGTCTGCGTGCCCCCCCTCGCCCCCTCCTCGTCCCAACATCTGCCTCTTGAGTTCCCTTTCCCAGGCAAAGCCTCGGACCGAAGGCTCCCCCGCAGGAATCCTGGCGGCTCCCGCCCGGAGGGCAGCTGGAGCGCATTTGGGGAGCTGGAGGGAGCGGGCGGGCGAGGCCTGTGGGGTGTGGCTGCTGCTGCTGCTGCTGCTGGGGCGGGCAAAGAGGGGCTTCCGCGGCGGCGGCGGCTGTGGGGCTCTGCACGGGCTTGTCCTGGCTGGGGCGGGGAGGCAGGATCTGGCGGGAAGGGAAGGTGCGCTCGGCACTCTCCGAGCAGCAGCAGCAGCAGGATGGCAGCTCCAGCCTTGGACTGGGAGGATGGCCGCTACTTTATGGAAGACCTGATCCAGCAGGGGCAAGGTAGGGCAGAGCGGCCGTCCTGTGGCATTTGGGTGGGGGGAAAGAGGGAAGAGGGGGAGTTGGCGCCTGGAGCCGCTTGACTGAGAGGCAGGTCTCTGGGAAAGAGGCAGCAGGAGGACAGGAAGTGCAGCCGCCTCCTGAGCTGCAAGGCAGAACATCCGATGCCAGGTCTTCTCGCCCAGAACCCAGGTGCCACAGGCATCCTCTTGGCACAGGATGGAGCCCTGAGTGCCTCTCTGTTGTGTTCAGGAGGGGTTCCTGAGTCGAGGGAGATGGTCTGCATGGACCCAGCCGAGAGACAACTCCCCCCCCACCAGGCAAACCCCTCTTCTCCCTGCAAAAGAGCCCCAGCCCCCAGCCTCTGAGTGGCCCTAAGGACTCCTCTTCCAGGCTGCCTCACTTTCCCCCAGCTGCCAACAGCTGGCATCAGTTCTGTGAAGGAGCACAAGGAGATAATGCCTTGCTCTCCCTTAGGTGTATGGGGGGGGGGGGCTTATATGCCTGGGAGGAGCTCCCAGGAAGGGCTTGGGACAGGCCATGCTTTGGAGAAGGACCCTGCAGCCACAATTGGGCGGGAACAGGAGAGGGGGGTGGAGCGTTCCCCCTGTCGAGAGTCAGCCTCTTCCTGCTCCTTTAGGGCGTGGCGCACCCCTCCCTCCGCCCCATCTGGCTTCCTTCTGCAGCTGCTTCTTCCAAACTGGCCCTGATTTGAGGCCTCTGCGGTTTCCCTCCGCAGGGGGTGAACAGATGTAAATGCTCCCTGCCTGCCATTCATCTGCTGGGGAAGGGCTTCAGGGGCTGCCCCCTTGGCAGATGTTGCGAGAGCACAGGGCACCCCCTGCAGGCAAGACTGGTTTGGGTGACTGCAAGCTGTGTGTGCAGTTGCTGGAAGTTTGGTCTCCAAGTCCCTGTAGCAGCTTCCTGGGCAACTCTAGGTTGGCTGTCCAGGAGATGGACCAGAGCAGTTCCCCACAGGCAGGCGGACCCCATTGGCTGCCCCTGGAGAGCCTGGCAGGAGCAAGGGAGGGGGCAGCTGGAAGCTGAGGAAGGTTTCAGAGAGGAGCTGCTCTGCCAGTGGAGTGAAACGTGTTGTCCCCTGCTGAGCAAATAAAAACCACCAGCCAGCCTCTCCCTAACGTAACCAGGAAGGGGCTGGTGAAGATTTTTCTACTTTGTTCTGTGGATCTTGCTGCAATGAGATGGTTGTTACTCAAGTCCTTTTTCCAGCCACAAAGTGTCCTTGCGGCTTCCTAACAGTCTAGCCCACCCCTGCCAAGTCTAATCATCAGCTGCTCTCCAGGGCAACAGGGGTGGGGTCTCGACCCCCAGACCTCCTTCCCCTTTGACCCACAAGTGCTTGGCCTGCGCCTGGACTTCATTGCTTGGCAGGGTTGTTTTCAGTTTTCCTGTGAAGCTGGCTTTCTGAGAGCCAGGGTGGTGGGGTCAGAGAGTTAGCCTAGGGTCTGGGAGACCTGGGTTCAGATCCATACCATAGGAACATAGGCAACTGCCATTCAGTATTGTCAACACTGACTGGCAGCCGTTTTCCAGGATTTTCAGATGAGAATCTGTCCCAGGCCTGCCTGGAGATGCTGCTGGGGTCTGAACGCAGGACCTTCTTCATTGGGGTGAGGGAGAAGCACCCAAGACACCTTGAGTGCGTTGAAGAAAAGGTGGGGTCTCAAGGTAGTAGCAGCAGTAAGACTACTAACAGCAATAATTAAAAAAGTTAAGAAGCCACTAGGAGTGGCGGAGCTTCAGTTACATACCTGGGTCTCCTCCTGGCATGGGGGAGCTCTCACTTTCTCCTCTTCCCTTCAGGCTAAGGTGGGTACTTTAAAATGCTAGATGGCAGCTCCCTCACCTGGGCCTGGTTTCAACCTTACCATAGTCGGTTGGTGTGTTCTAAACATGCAAGGCAAGAGAGCCTGAATCGGACCTCTGAAAAGCCAGTCTGGCTGAGTCACCCTGGAGCTTGTGCTCTTGAGGTGGGAAGAAGGACTTTGTCTGTGGCTCTCAACATCAGCTTCCTCAGTGTTATGAGAGATGGAGAAGAACTTCTCCTTATCCACTTCTGCAGGGTCCTTTTTGAGGTAATGCAACCAGAACTGTAGACAGTATTCCAAGTGCAGTTGCACCATAGATTTCTTTAATAGCCTGGTGATATTGGCAGCTTTATTTTCCATTCCTTCCCTATTGATCCCGAGCATAGAATTCACCTTTTTCACAGCTGCTGCTCCCGGGGCAAAGTCTTCATTGAGCGATCCACTGATCCCAAGGTCACACTAATGGTCAGTTGTGGCCAGTTCAGATCCCATGAGCATATTAAGTGAAATGAAGATTTTTTTTTGCGCCAATACTTTACACTTATTCATATTGAATTGCATTGGCCATTTTACCATCCATTTACTCAGTTTGGAGGGACTTTGTTTTAAGGACCTCTTTGTTTTAATGACCTTAGATTATTATTGTTAGCAAACTTGACCACCTAACTCTAGAATGTTTATGAGCACGTTGAAAGCATAGGCCCCAATACTGATCCTTGAGGAACTCCACTTCCTACATCCAGTGGCAGAGGAAGAGGTATGCGGGGGGGGGGAGCACATTGCCCCCTGCAGTGCGATCCCGGTGGGGTGCCATTGTGGCTGTCCCTCTGCCTGCGCTGGGTGCCATGCCCCCACAGGTGGCGTGTCATGCCCCCAGGACGCACCCCAGCCCTGCCCCTGCCTGCTCTTGGCCCCCCCCGCCCGCTGCCAGAGCATGAAGCTCCACCACTGCCTACATCTCTCCATTCAGAGAACTGTCACATTTATTTCTGCTCTGTTTATTGCTATTGCTTCCTTTTACTTAAACAATTCCTGATCCACAAGAGGATATCTCCTCTTATTCTTATTCACCTGAAAGCTGTTTAAAAGTCCCAAGTACGGATGTCGATGTTTGTTGACACTCTCTGAGACCTCTACTAGGTTTGTGAGACAGGACATGTCCCTCCAGAAGCCACGCTGGCTTTTCTTTAGCAAGGCTTGTTCTACTGTATGCTTGCTCATTTCATCTGGTCCTGGTGATTTGTTAGTTTATAATTTTGTCTATTAGGCCTAGTTTGCATCCTGATGAAGGTTTGCCCACTTCTGGAGACCCGGCTGTGCAGACTCCAGCCTCTGGGACTTACAGAGAGTGCTGGTACTTTTGAATGAGGTCCTTCTCAGTAGAAAGTCATCAGGCCAGGACTTGTAGCCAAAATGTCTAGCCAATCACAGAACTTGTTTGTCGATTGCAACCTAATCCTGTTCATTTATGTTTACTTGGAAGTAAGGCCCACTGCCAGCAAAGGGGGTGCAGATGTACCCCTCCCCTCCACACAAATCAAGCAGCTAGGACTCCAGGCAAGCACTTTAGATCCCTGCCAGAAGTGAAAGGTGTGAGGAGGATCGCTTACATTTGACAGGCACACACCAGGCTCCTCAAAGGAAAGGAGAGAGAAAAATGTAATTTAACTTGAAAGGAAATGTTGAAGGAATTATTGCGCATCTAGCCTTGGGCAGAGAAACCTCAGGGGGGGCTCAATAGCTACTTCAAGGGCTGGTTCAGAGAGGAGGGTCCAGGCTCATATTCTCAGCCCCAGAGGGCAAGGAGAGGCCAGATCTAAGGGGCGCAAGTCACAAGAGGGAGAGGAAAGGTTTCCCGGGAACTTCTTGAGCTTTCAGGGTGAAGGAGAAGGCAGCTTGTGCTGGGAATCTCCGGTGAGCAGGGGGCGGCTGTTGTGCTCAGATCCAGCTTGCAGGCTTCACAGTTTGGCATCTTGTTGAGCACTGTGAGAAGAGGGTGCTGGACCAGAGGGGCCACTGGCCCGATCCTGCAGGCTCTTCTTTTGACCCAACTACTCAGGGAGCTGGTGGGCTCTTCCTTACTGGAGCACAGAGGCCTTTGGGGGCGCCCTGGGGCTGGCAGAGGGTTGGAATGAACAGCTTAGGAATCCTCCACCTGCCCTTTGATTCCAGTGAATGATGAACTACCCTTGGATGGTCTCCCTGACCTCTCCCCCCCCCACCTCCTTTACCAAACTTGCATTTCGGCTGCCTTAATTGTTCTCAACTAATCGACTCCGATTCTTTCGCATAGAGCAGAACCTTCGCGGGCAGCTCATCTCTCTCCTACATCAGAACCACCTCCAGGGTGGACTCAGGTGCTTGACCGCCCTGTGGCGTCAGGATTAACCCCCCGCTGGCTGTGGGGTGCTGCTGAAGGGCAGCAAAGGTTACATGCCAGCCCCGCAGATACATTTATAGCATTTTTACGACGCTGATGGTGCAACCTTTCCCCTTTCCAAGCGGCCACTCCTTGCCTTTCAAGGCTGTTGGAAGCGGGTCTTGCCTCCTGTTGCTTCGGTGCCCTGACCTGGAATTCTCCCCTGGGAGAGGCCGAACGGAGCGTCCTCTCCTGGCGCAAAGGCCAAGCCCTGCTGGAGGGCGATGGGTGGGGGCGCCACTCGTGGCACGAAGGGCGTTTGAGGTGGGTACGGAGCATACCCCGTCACCCCCAAACCTGACATTCTAACCCTCGGCCCGCTGCTCCTTATGCGCCAATTCCTCCTAAGCAGCTTCGCCGCTGGCCCCAGGGAGAGAATCTCTCCCGCGAGCGGCGCAGGCCCTGGGTTGGGGGTGGAAGCCCCCTACCAACCCCACTGTAGGAAGATGCTTGCGGAGAGCGCCCCTCGCCCCTAGAGGGGGAGGGTCAGGCAGGAGGAGAAACTGCGGCTGAGGCCCAGCTCAGGCAGCCGCGCCCGGCGGCGCCTTTGTCCGAGGGGGCGCGCACAGGTGCCTGCTGCGCCGGGGAGGGGGCAGCTGCGCTGTGGGGTCCCTGGCCGAGCGCAGCCTGGCTCCTCCTCCTCCTCCTCGCTCCGGTGTAATGTTCTAACTCGAGAGCCGTGACAAGGCCCGTCCTCGCCGTCGCCGGGCTATTTATAGGCCTGCCTGCGCCACTGCCCCCTCCCCAACAGCCACGGGGGACCCGCGGGGGCTGGCGGTGTCGTGAAGCCCGCAGCTCCGGACCCTCACTCGGGGGCTGCCGCTGCCGCGTCCTGTAGCTGCTCCTCTTGCGCGGCCGGGGGGTGCCCTCCGGGACAGCGGCTCTCCCATGAAGATCGTGCCGGGTAAGCCGTGGGTCTCGGACGGCCGAGCGGGGAGGCACTGGCGCCGGCCGGGCGAGTTCCTGGCAGTTATAAAAAGCTTGGCCGCTGCCGGCCGTGATTGATGGAGGGGGGGAGGGGGTATTTGCTCTGCCCACCCGGGGCAGCGCCGCGCTCGCCCTCCCGCTTGGCTCCGGGGAATGCGGAGCGCACTTGGCAGGTTGGGCATCAGGCCTGGCGCGAGCGAGACCCGCGATTCTCCTTCCTTGCCTCCCTCGGTCGTGTGGCTGCGTTGCCTAATGGTTGGATCGAAGGGGCAGAGCTAAGGGGAGGGGGAGGGCGTGCCAAGGCGCTGGGCTCTGCCCTGGCGAGGGCGAAGGGAGTGGTCAAGGCGCGCGGGTAACCTTGAGCGCTGCCTGCGCAGGGACAGCGGCGGGGCCGGCTCGCGCCGTCGAGGCTGCGCCGGGCTAGGCCGGGCTCCGGCGGCTCCGCAGTGCGGGCGGCGGGCCGAGGGGGCGGGCCTGCGGGCTGCCCCGGGGGAGGAGGAGGAGGAGGATCCTGCGCTGGCGGCTCGGGCGGGGCGGCCGCTCGCTCAGCGCCAGGGACTCGGCGTAGCGGCTGCTGCTGCCGTCGGAGCACCTCCGTGCCCTGCTCGGCGTCGCCCGCGGCCTCCGCCATGGATCCCGGCGGCGGCAACCTCTTTCCGTCGCTGGTGGTGGCCGGCCACGCGCTCACGCTGGCCCTCGTCTGGTACCGGCGCCGCGCGGGGAGCCCCGGCGAGGACGGTGAGTGGCGAGAGGGTGCGCGGGCGGCGCTGGGGCCCCGAGGACAGGCAGGCGGGCGCGCGCCGAGGGGCGGGGCGAGGCGACCGAGCTCCCCCCTCCCCCCCGGCAACCAAACACTGACACGTGGGCGCGCGCCCATTAACCCCTGCGTGGCTGGAAGGCGCGCCCGCGTGCCGAGAAGCCGGCCTTTGCAGGAGAGCCGCTCCGTCGGTTGTCAGTCGGCGGCGTCTTGTGCAACGAAGGGATGATAATTCGGTCGGTAGAGTGGGGGACTCTGGACCGCAGAGTTGTGGGTCGGAGCCCCAAGCTGGACAAAAGATTCCTGCATTGCAGGGGGTCGAACTAGGTGACCCTCGTGGTCTCCAATTCCGTGGACCCCTGCTTGGCGGCTTTTGGGCGCCGCCTTCAGGTCGAAAGCTCTTTGGGTCCCTTCGCTGCCTTCAGTGCCGCTGGCTGAGCTTGGTCGGGGGCCGCGCTCAAGGCGACCTACCTTACAAGGCTGTTGTGATGAGGGGGGGAGCAGGGGCGCCTCCTGCTGCTGACCTGATGCAGCGCAGCCCGCCTGGCTAGGAAGCCCATTCCTCCGCTTCCACTGGCTCTCCAGGGAGATGGGAGTCTCACAGAGTCTTCCTCCTCAGCGAGAGTAGCTGGGGTGAGACGCTACACTCGCCTCCTTCTGGGGCTCCACCAACTGGCCTCTCAAACTGCCCCACTGGATGCCACCCAAGTCGGAGTGGCTTTTCTCCGTGACTCCAAGCTGGAGCATCTTCTAGATAGTAGCAGAATGAGGTCTGCGGAATTAGTTCCCTTCTGAGACCCGTGACGTCAAGCTGTGTACTGCACTGGACTCTGGAATTACCTCTGCCAAGGCAATACCCCCCCCCCTGAATGCAGGCACAGCACTGGGCCAGCTGCTTGTGGGGCTGGAGAGGATCTCTCTTGGGGAGTTGCTGCTCTCTGGGTGGCAAGGCTGTCTCCACTGCCCTTGGGGGTCTGCCAGAACCCACAAGGAATGACTGGTGGGGGGCCTTCATTGCATGTTTCAGCAGCAGCAGCTGCCCACTTGGGTGGGGGCAAGAGGAGTGGGACAAAGGGCAGGTTTAGTTGTAGGTATGGGAGGGGGAGAATGAGCAGGTGTCCCCCCAGGAAGGAGGGTGGCAGCTGTCGCTGCTGCTGCTGCTTCTCTGGCTTTTAAATGGGAGCAGCAAAGCTTTGCCTAAAGATCAGTAGGATTGAATTTCTGGTGGAAGCGCAGGAAAGGAGGAGGTTAATTTCTGGATAGTGAAAGTGATGTTCCTGCTTGATGACGTGATTGCCTCCCCTGGAATATTTTCCAGTGCCACTTCTGATGCCATCTGACCATCTCTGGAGAGGACACTTCCTTCCTTGGGGGGGGGGGCATTGGGGAGGCAGAATCTGTTTTGGCCAAACATTCCTGTTTTAGTCTTCTGTTTGGGATGCTGCCTGGTCTTCTGCAAGGGGGTCAGTGTCTGTCTGTCAGACCCCCAGATCTCACTTCTGGGGCCACCCTAGGATGCCGCCCTCACCCTCACATGTGCCAGTGACCTTTCAGTTGAAGGAATGTGGCATTTGGCAGTTCTGTGTCGATCCCACACAAGTGTGTGGGGCACCGGGCACCAGAGCTCTTTGTTGGGGGAGCAGGAGAGTGCATTTAAATGGCACAGTTTGTTCTGGTAGCGAAAGCACTTTGGGGAGGGGTGATTTTCAGTGGGAAATTGGGGAGGGGGAGGATGAGGGAGAGTTTAACCCTCTCCTGCCAGCTGCTCAGGGCTCCACATGCGTAATGTCTTTTTTTTGGCCTTTAGCAAACCCTGTGGGATGGTGGCAGCAGCAGCAGCAGCGCCGCCTTGTTCATTCTGTTCTAGCAGGCACAGCACATCTTTCCCTTGAGGGTCCCAGGGAACAGAGGACTGGCAAGGGAAGTGGCACCATGGCTCACATAAAAGCATGCCAGCCCCACCCCTCTGCCACACGCTCCTTGGGGCACCAGCAGCCTTCTCCTTTTGATGCCAGCTGGGCATGGTCACCTCTTAGCAGCACCTGTGCCTCAGCTTGGGTGGGGCTGTGCCAGACAGCGCAGGTGGCAGCCTCTGAGCATGTTTTCAAAAGGGTGGGGAGGAGCCAGGCTGCTTCTCTGGCTGCGCTTTGGGGCAGGAGGGGGAAGGACTGTGCTCCTGGCTTCCTCCTCTGTTGTCCTGCAGGGTCTCTGGGGCAAAGGTGTCTGTACTTGCTGTGCTTTCTCCCCACCCCCCCCAGCTAAAGGCTGGAGTTGCATAGCAGTGTCACCACTGGGTGCTCTCTCTCCCCCCCCATCCTTCTCACGGGGATCATGTGCCAGCCAGCCTTTTGAGCTGGCATCCTTGTTGGGCTCTGTTCCCCCTGCCAGCTGCTGCTGCCCCCAGCTGTTTCCCAGAGTGGGGGAGCCTGGAGAGAGCCCCCCCCGCCTTCCCTGCTTCTCTTGGGCCCAGCCCAGCCCGCCATGCTGCCCAGTCATGCTGCATTCAGCTCCGATTTCACAGCTGCCCTCCCCCTCCCATAGGCCCAGTTCTGTGGGGCCGTTTGGCAAGCAGTGCTGTGCCCAGCCAAATGCAGAAGCAGGAGTCTAGGACTCAGTCTGTGACTTTCTCTGAGTACGTGCAGAGTGCATCTTCCCTTGGTGCTGCAGAACCAAAGCCCACCCTTAAGCTTGGGCTTCGGGTGCCACAGGGTTTTCAGCTCAGGAAAATTGTGTCGTCTTCATGGTGGTTCTATTCCTGCTTTTAAAGGTTTTTTTGTGTGGTTTCTGTACAATGCGCTGCTGTTTTGCAAGAGGCTGCTATACTTTAATAAACAAACAAATACTGCATGCGGGAGACCCGCTTCTGTGTCTTAACATCTGCAAATCCCATGTCTTGCACAGGCCTTGGTGCCCCACCCATGGGTGACATCCTCTGACTTTCGTGACACAAATGAGGAGGTTCCTATGGCTGCCCACAACTCCTGTTTCCCCCTCTGCCCCTTCTGTCAGAAGCTGAGCGGTGGTTTTCTCGGAATCTCTGCCACTCTGCCACTCATTCCGGGCACCAGTGTGGGTGGGGCCTTCCCTCCATTGCCATGGCAGCCTCCTCCCCAAAAAACACACATCAAGTGATCAGGAAACCGCAGTCTGGTAGTGCACAGTGAAACTGGAGCTTCCTGGCTTTGAAACTGCCGGTGGCGGTTGGGGGGCCAGGTGGGAGGGAGGCTGGCAGGGTGGGGAACCAGATGAAGGTTTCATTTTTGGAATAATAATTTTTCAGAGTAGTTTTTACAGTTATATCAAAAAATTCTGATTTGGTTATACTATTAGAAATACATTGACTGATAATTATGAAACTATTGTGAGGTTTAATAAGTTAAATGTTTATATTTGGACAACTTTTCTGCTATACTTTATTGGAAGGAGAAAAACAATCATTTCCTTAATAACCATTTATTTAAACCATTTATTTAGCTAAAACAATAACATTGTAGCATATGTATCCATGTTTGTTAACTGATGTGGTTAAACAATTAAAAAAAAAAACTTAGACTGAGTTTTAGCACACATGAAAAACTTAAAGCAAATCCTTATTTCCTGATGAATAACCTTTGGACTGTAATGTAACTTAAATAGAAAACTATCTTTAGAAAGATTCCCACCCCCCCCCCAGCATTTTATTTTAAAAATCCAATTTAAATACAAAAAACCAATTTAAATTAATTTTTTTTTTTAAAAAAACACCATTGATTTTTATCCACCCTGGTGGGGAGGCACAACATTCTGTGATTTGGATGGGGGCAGAATGGCAGGGCTAGGCTTCTCTTTATATATGTACTATTTTGCTGCATCACTTGTGCTGGTTCAGTGCTCAAGGAAACAGTCCCTGGCCTGGCAGATGAGCTAAGCTCCTGAATTAGGCAAAAAGCCCACTCAGCATCCTGTTCATCCAGTCAAATGCCCAAATGGCCCTGTAGACCTGAAGGAGCATCTCCACCCCCATCGTCCAGCCCGGACATGGAGGTCCAGCTCCTTCCCTCACTGCGAGAAGCCAAGTTACAGGGAACCAGGCAGAGGCCTTCTCGGTAGTGGAGCCCACCCTGTGGAACACCCTCCTATCAGATGTCAAGAAAATAAACAACTACCTGACTTTTAGAAGACATCTGAAGGCAGCCCTGTATAGGGAAGCCTTTTAACATTTTATTATGTTTTTATGTGTGTTGGAAACTGCCCAGTGTGGTTGGGGCAACCTAGTCAAGATGGGTGGGGTACTATTGCTACTATTACTAGGAGAGCAGGTGGTGCTGTGGTCTAAACTACTGAGCCTCTTGGACTTGTGGTTCGAATCCCCGCGATGGGGTGAGCTCCCGTTGCTCAGTCCCAGCTCCTGCCAGCCTAGCAGTTCGAAAGCACGCCAAACAGTGCAAGTAGATAAACAGGTACTGCTGTGACAGGAAGGTAAATGGCACTTCCGTGCGCTCTGGTTTCCATCACGCTGTCCCGTTGTGCCAGAAGCAGTTTAGTCCTGCTGGCCACATGACCTGGAAAGCTGTCTGTGCGCAAATGCTGGCTCCCTCAGCCTGAAAGCGAGATGAGTGCCACAACCCCAGAGTCGCCTTTGACTGGCCTTAACTGTCCAGGGGTCCTTTACCTTTACTACTGGTACTACTAGTAATAATAAACCCACCAGCAGGATGTGGGGGCAGCAGCAGCAGCCACCCCCTCTCTCCTGATTCCTGGCAGCAGCTCTCCGATAGTGGAGGGAGAGCGTAGTCACTGCGGCCAGGAACCATGGCTAGCCTTTTCCTGCATGAACTTGCCCAGTCCTCTTTTAAAGCCATCTCAGTTGGTGACCCTTGCGGCCTTCTTCCCTTGTCCTTCCTTTGGCGCCGCCCTGAACCTGCCAACATTAAGCTTCCCTGGAAGTCCACACATCCTGGTGCTGTGAGAGATAATAATAATAATAATAATAATAATAATAAATTTATTATTTATACCCCACCCATCTGGCTGGGCTTCCCCAGCCACTCTGGGTGGCTTCTGAAAAAATATTAAAATACAGTAATGCATCAAACATTAACAGCTTTTCTAAACAGGGCTGCCTTCAGATGTCTTCTAAAATTCTGGTAGTTGTTTATATCTTTGACATCTGGTGGGAGGGCGTTCCACAGGGCAGGTGCCACTACCAAGAAGGCCCTCTGCCTGGTTCCCTGTAACTTGGCTTCCCGCAGTGAGGGAACCGCCAGAAGGCCCTTGGAGCTGGACCTCAGTGTCTGGGCTGAACGATGGGGGTGGAGACGCTCCTTCAGATATACTGGACCGAAGGGAAAAACCCATCTCCATCCACTCTCTCCACTTTGTGCATAATTTTATAGAGTTCTACCTCTTACTTGCCTTCTCTCTAGAATTCGAAGCCCGAATTGTAGCCTTCCTGCCCATGGAAGCTGCTGTGCCAGTGGGGAGTGGGGTGCTGTCAGGCTCCCCCAAAATGGGGGACCCCGATGCCTCCTGCTTCCTGCTGTCTCTCTGGACCACGGCGGCTCCTGCGCTTGTCTAACCTTTTGCCTTTGACCTCCAGGGCAATGGCTCACAGAGTCCTCTCTGCCCAGGCCTCCTCGTGGGTGAGCTGGAGCCTTTCCTTGCCCCAGGACTGTAAGTTCTTGCAAGCGACAGCCCTGATTGGAGGGGGGGGTCGCCTGGGCTCCAACACCCCCTGCAAGCTTTGCCCCTCCAGTGAATCAACACCCGTGGTTGCTAATGTTAAATACTACATACTAAAGTGTGTGTTTTGTGTTGTTGTTGTTCCATGGACTTAAATACGTGGTGGCATCTACTCACAGCACTTGAGGGGTTTGTGTCTCCGTGTGTGCAGAGGGAGAGAGTGTTTGGGGCCCCTCTGTGTTTCTGCTTCAGCCCCCTGATCATTTTGGCAGATCAGGAGCATAGCTGTCAGCTTTTTCCCTTTTCTTGCGAGGAATCCTATTCGGAATAAGGGAATTTCCCTTTAAAAAAGGGAAAAGTTGACAGCTATGCTCCTGATCTGCCGAAATGACAGCTGACAGAGCAGGGGAGGGAATGGGGTTTTTTGGCAGGTGGAGGGCAAAGGACAGCTTGGGCAATGAAGCAGGCAGGCCTGGGGAGGGGTGAATGTGTGTGGGGCCTCTGGGTTCCTGACCACTGCTGCCCCAAAGCTCAGCCTGCAGGCGTTCTGTGCTGAATGTTCTACACAGTGCAGAATTGACATGGACTCTGACCAGTGTTGATGGAGGGTTTTTTGGGGGGTGGAATAGGAAGGCGGAGGTAGAGGGACTTCCAGCTCCTCCTGCTGCTGTCAGGTGGGGGTGCAGCTGAGCCATCTGACAGAGATTCTCCTCTCTGGCTGCTCCCTGCTGATTCTGCTAATCCCTGTTGGGCTGCAGCCTGTTTCTGGGCAGAAAACTTCCGCTTTTTGCTGTTTGCCACCTGCCTGCCTGCCTGCCTCCCTATGTGGCTGTCCTTGGCCCCTTGCCAGGCCTGCTCGAGGGGGGGGGGCTGCCGCTGCCCTCCCCCCACCCCGTCAAGGTCGCACCTGCCAGGACGCATCAGCTTCCAGGGTGTGTCCAGATTCTTGACTGCCGTGGAGGTCACCTCTGGACTCCGGACAGGGCTGCTGGCTTTCCAGGGGGTGCCTGGCCCCTGTGCCGGTGGGGGCCCTGTGGGGCAAGGCAATCGGGGAGGGGCTGCCCCACCCAGTTCTGGCTTGGGTCTATTTTTAGATGGTGCAGCTTCTGTCAGCAAGCTGGTGAGCGCCGAGGGAGGCTGTTTATCCTGGAAACCAAATAAGAGGCCTGGTTACTGTGGCTGCTGCTAATGGGCCTGTTTCTCCCTCACCAGACCAGACTGTTGTGGGGAAGAGGCAGGCGGGGGGGGGGGGGGAGGGACTGGCCTCAGGCCAGGCAGTGGGAGCTCTTCACAGCCTCCGGGATTCCACTCTCCCTCTGGACATACCTGGGGACTTGTGGGCCTTCAGTGAAGCTGCTGTGGGGAGTATCAATGAAGAGTTAAAGTGTGGCATTTGCTCCCCCAGGAGGCAGGGATGGCCCCCACTGGGATGGCCTTAAGAGAGGATGAGACCAGTACCTAGAGAGGGCTGTGAGGGCTATTTGCCCTGATGGCTCCTCTCTGCCCTGGGACCCATGGAGGGGATTCCTGCTTGCTGCTTTCCCCACAGGCAACTGGTAAAGGTAAAGGGACCCCTGACCATTAAGACCTGCCAAAGGCCCTTCTAGTCCAGCACCCCCTTCTCCCAGGGGCTGGGGCTGAGTGGGGCCCATATTCTGATATTCGTTGGTCCTGAGGCTGGTGCTTTGCTCCCTTGTGCTCTCTGACCCCATGGGGGGGCCCCCACTTTTCTCTAGGCTGGTGACGTGGGATTATTAATAATATTTATTAGTGGAGTTCTCCTGCCAAGGTGAACTCAAAGTGACTTACAGAAAACAAACATTTAAAAACGTAATAAGTGGACATATGCCTGTTGAATTTTAGACTATTTATTTTGTTTGTTTATGTTAAAGAAAACTCAATAAAAAGCATATGGGGGAAAAAAAGAAAACAAACAAACAAACAAAAAAACGAGAATAAAAACAAGGGCACAAACAACCTAGACCAGGCCTCAGGAAACTTTCTGAGCTGGGGACCGGTCCACTGTCCCTCAGACCTTGTGGGGGGCCAGACTATATTTTGAAAAAAAAAATATGAACCAATTCCTATGCCCCACAAATAACCCAGAGATGCATTTTAAATAAAAGGACACATTCTACTCATGTAGAAACACGCTGATTCCCAGACCCTCCGCCGGCTGGATTTGGAAGGTGATTGGGCCGGATCCGGCCCCCGGGCCTTAGTTTGCCTACCCATGATAGACGCTGGCAGATGATATGAGTAAAAGGCAGGTGGGATAGTGGGGCGTCCTGGCTGGAGGGGTTGTGGAGCCCCCTAGCGGCCAGCTAGGGGATAATGATGAGCCCCTCCGCTTGTGGGTCTCTCACCCGGAGAGCCCCTCTTTCCTATGGGGTGGGAGCAGAGTGGGCAGCCGCGCCCCCTGTGCTGGTGCTGCTGTGGGGGCTCTTCCCACGTTCTTCGTGCTAGGAGGGGTTCCCGCTTTTCCTCCGCAGTTTCAGGAGCAGCACCCATCTCCTCCCCCCAACTTCCACGCCCCCCAGGTCTTTCTCTCTCTTTGAGGGGGGTGCTTTTGTTGGGGGGCGGGCGAAGGAAGTCAGACCTCAAGGCTGGGAGGGACAGTCGGTGCCGCGTCGCGACAATGAGCCGTGTTGGTGAGTGTGCAGCATAAAGGGCACCTCTGAGCATGTGCAGAGCGCGGGCGTTGGCGGGGCGGTGTGTGGCGCTGCTTTGGTGAGCGGGAAAGGCCGCCTGCGTGCTCTGCCTGTCCCGGACGCAGCACACCCCCCCCCAAGTCCTTATTCACTTTTTCCATCTTCCCGCCCTGCTGTGCCAGAAAAGGGGCTGCGGGCGGATGCTGTTCTGGTGCAGGAATCTGGTTCTGATTATGCCCAGTGACTCAATTGTCCCTCTGCTCCGTGGGGAGGGAAGGGGTGGGCAGCGGGATCCTGCTGCTGCCCCCTGCCCCGCCCAGACCCTGGGAACGAAGCTGGCCCTGAGAATTTCCCAGCGTGACTCAGGGGCCAGGGAGCCCCCTGGGGGCCGGATGCCTGCAGGGAAAAAAGCACCCCTCTCTCCCCCCCCCCCCCCGCTGCGCTTATCGCGCCCTTTGGCAGCCGCGCGCGGCCTTATCTGTCCCGCGCAGACGCGCACGTGGGAGCCGGGGGTCACGCGGGGGGAGCGAGGCCAGATAGCCAGGCTGGCAGGCCTTTCCCTGCGCAGGGAGGCCCACGGGGGAGTCGGGGCAGGGCCCCCCACCGTGTCCCGGGGGCTCCCCTCGTGCGCAGGAGCGAGATCCCACGGGGGGCGCCAGAGGTTGCCCAGCCCGGTGCCCCCTGCCCGGCTTCGGAGAGCTGGAGAAGGAGCCGAGGCATCTGGACGGGACTTTGGTGCGGCTGGCTGACTGCGCAGCGAGGGAGGGAGGCGAGGGCGTCGCCGGCTCCCTCGCCAGGCGCCCGGCCAAGGCGCTGGTGACGAGAGGGCGACGTGCGGAGTCCCCGCGCGGCTCCAGCGGGGCTTCCCTCGCTCGCGCCCTCGGGACCGGCTGGCTCGAGTCCCGCAGCGCCCAGCGGGCCGGAGCTGCCTCTGCCGGGGGCTTCTCGCCGCGCCCCTGAGGGTGGCTCCGGTGGCGCTTGTCGCTCGTCTGCATCCTCCGAGGGCCGGGGAGGCGGCCCGCTCCCCTCTCGGAGGCCACTCCTGGCTTAGTGCCCGCCTGGCATTTCCCGCCAGTCTGCGGAAGGCGGCTGGTTAATGATTATTTCTTTGTCGTTCGTTTCGTTTCTATGTCGCTTTGTGTTTTCAAATCGGCGGCAAACCTCAAAGCGGTTTACAAGCTGCGCGGAAACATCGAACAAAACCAGAAGGAAAATAAATAGACTGTATCCCTGCAGAGCAACACAATTAACAGGAAACTAAGACATTATTTTAATAATTTCGCAACAAGACCCTATAGAGGAAGATAAAGTGTCGAACACACATTTAATGCTGCAAAGTTAAGAGCTAAAAATTCTTTGAACGGGACGGGCTTGGGATGGTACAGTCAGTAGGGTCGTGGCTTCGAGCCCCACTTTGGGCAAAAACGTTTCCTGCCTTGCGAGGGGTTGGACTAGATGACCCCCGTGGTTCTTTCCAACTCTGCGATTCTGTGACGATGATTACTAGAGGAAGTCAGGTATCAAATGCACACTGAAAGCAGCACTGGAACAGGCGCGCCCTTTCCCAGAGCCTGTGGTGTTAGTTTTGCGCATCCCGCGGCACTGGTGGCCAGAGCGCGCGCCTGCCGTGTGCGCCTGGGGGCGTTTTTCTGCGTTCGCAATGGCCTAGATGGCGGTTAGGGTTAGACTAGACGGCCTCTGGGCTCCCCTTTCCCATTCCCACCCAGGCCTGGCCCGTCGGCGGTGCGCATCTCTGGCAGCAGCCGGGCCTGGTGGCGAGGGGCGGGAGCGGGGCGGGGCGCTTCCTGCTAGCGGAGCCGTCGAGCCGGCCGGGCGGGAGGGAGCCAGAGCGCGTCGCCATGGCTTCCCGTAGCAGCAGCAGCAGCGCCCTCGGCGGGAGCGCGGAGCCGTCGGTGAGCGCCTACTTCGCCTACAAGCGGGAGGTGCTCCTGGGCGCCTCGGAGTGGCTCAGCGCCCCCGAGCGCCACCGCCAGCGCCTTCTCTACAGCCAGCTCTGCTGCGTAGGTAGGTGGGTGCGTGGCTGCCAGCGAGCGGGCGGGCGGACGGTGGGAGGCGGGCACTGCCAGGCAGCAGCTGCACCTCTCCCTCCTGCCAAGGGTGCGCGCCGTCCAGGCTCGGTCCTCCTCGTCCTCGGGCGCGGCGAGCCGAGGGTTAAAGGGGGCGCGGAACGAGCTGTCTCCGCCTCCCGTCCCCGTAGCAACCAGCCCGCGCACGCGCGCTCCCTCGCAAGGGAGGGAGTCCTGGCTGCGCGCGCGCTCCCGACCCTTCAGAGCGTTTTGCCCCCGCCGCTGCCGGCCAGAGCCCAGGGAGCGCGGTTGACTAGAGTCTCCTCGGCTAGAGCCGGCTCTGGTGGGGCTGCCCCATCTCTGTGCCTGGACTGGCACCCCCTAAGGGGCCCTTGCCACGCGGGTGGGAGGCAGAGGCGCCGCGGGAGAATGGAAGTCTTAAAATACATCTCTATATGCGAGTGTGTTTATTGTTTTTCACAATGCAGCGAACAGCAAAACAAACTGGCCATTCTTGAGCTCCTTGAAGCCAACGCCGCTCCTTCTCGCCCAAGTCCTCCCTGCCTTTGGGGTGGTCTCTGTGGGGGGGGCGGGGGCTCAGCTCCTGGGAACCATTTTTAATTACAAGGCTGCATTAGAAGACTGTGAATCAGAGTTTCCCCTTCCTTCTGGCGGGCAGGGAGCCCAGAGGAAGCAGCGGCCGGCCGCCTGGTGTCCTGCCTGGAAAATGTTCCTGGTCGGGCTTCTGTCGGCTGGGGAGGAGGAGGGAGCCCCTCCCGCGCTTGGCAGGCTCACCTGGCAGCAAAGGGGAAGGAGGAGCCCTGGGATCCCTGCCAACAGCACCCCAGTCCTTTGGCAAATTTGCATAAATTCCTCAGTTTCTGCTCAGGGCTGGGTGTGGACCTCCTCAGCACTAGGAACTTGGTTGCAGAAAGAAATGTAGCCGTACAGTCAGCACTTTGCATCCTTCCTGCCCTGAGGAACCTGAGATCCAAAACACACAGGAGGGAGCAGAGGATGGAGAGGCAAGGGGGGGTGTTAAAAGAGAAATCTGAGGGCTCCCTTGGACAAAAAACAAGGACACCAGCCAGGAATATCAGAGCAAAACAGCAGCCAGTAGGCTTGGTCTTGATTGAAGACTGTCGTGACAGGACTCCCACCTGCCACCAGGTGGAACAAGATGGAAGCCCGAAACAAAAGAGCCCCTAAACTTTTATTAACTTTTATCTCCATGTTACACCCCCCAAACTACATCACTCATACACCACGGTTACATCAGGAAAGGGGAGGTCTGGTGGCAGGAATCTGAGCATCCTGGACCCTGCCCCATGGTTCTCCTTGCCCTCCACCAAACACCCATCAAGTGTAACAAAAGAGATATTTACATTTCCCTGTTTCCCAGCCAAGTTAATCACACCCTTTTGTCTTCATCTGGGTTTGTTCTTTCTGGAATGGCTACCTGTCTGGCACTCAGGTATCAGGATGCCAGGGATTATCCCTCAGGCAGAGGGGCTGCTGAGGAGCTGAGTTCACATGTCTATAGGAATTTCTGAAGTTTTCCCAGTGAGCCAGTACAGAGATACTGTACATTGATCATTTGGTATTGTGCAGCAGAGGCCCTTTAAATAGATAGGAAGAAACTCTGATAAAGTGTGTTGTGGAGTCACAAAAGTGATTGTGCTGATTTTGGTAGTGGGCTGCATGTGCATAATATCTGCTGGAGGGGCATCTCCCCCCTCCCAAACCTATACATAAATTCCTGCAACAGGAGGGAGCACCATTCTTTCCTTTTTTTTTTAAAGTAATGTTTATTAAGAGTTTAAAAGTTACAAAAAGAAAAAAAAGAGTTAAACAAAGCAAAACAATACAATACAATACATAAAAAACAAAAAACACTGCTTATCTTAACAAAACAAAAACAAGAACAAAAACAGAATCAATTAAAAACACATCCAATATTTCCATATCTTGTCTTTCATTTACTTGTTACGACCTCCTCACACCTCCCTTTTTGTATTCTAGTTCAGTTAGCTATTACAGCAAATCCTTTCCATCTTTCTCAGTTTTTATCCTATAATTTATCTTAACACAATCTAACCTTGTTCTTTTCCCCTTTAGCCCATTAACAGTCTATTTTTACTTAATTCTTTATAACATTTCTGCTAAAGCCATATAACTTCATTCCAGCATCCGTCTAACATTCATTAATTTTACAGTGTTTCTGTAAATAGTCTTTAAATTTTTTCCAATCTTCTTTCCGTTTAGAATGTAAGCTCCTTAGGGCAGGGACCTGCTGCTGTACCAGGGCTGGCTCACCTGCGCAGGCCCTCCGGGGGTTAGACTCAAGCTCCCTCTACTCCCAACACAGATGCAGGCTGGGGAGGGCCCCCCCCCCAAGTCAGGCCCTGTTCCCAAGCCTCCCTTTTCAAAGGGGCCTGGCTGTAGAGGCTGAGCTGGCTGTGGGGCAAGGCTGCTGCGTGCAAAGATTTGCCCCACAAGTGTGGCAACTGCTCGGCACCGGAAGGATCCGGCAAGCGGTGCCCTCACCTGGAGCCCTGAGTCACCCTGGCGTCAGCTTACCTGGAAGGTGCATAGTTAACCCCCTGGAATCTGCTCCCTCCGGGCACAGTGGCTTTGAGAGATTTCGTGGAGGAAGATAAGGCTGTCTCTGCAAGGCGTTGCCTGCAGGTCCAGGGGCAGAATGGGCTCCTGAGGGGGAGAGGCTGCTGGAGGCCAGACTCGCCTTCCTTGGAGGCTTATAAGCAAAGGTTACGTTCTTTATCTGCGATTCCTGCATTTGCAGGAGGCTGGAATAGATGACTCTCGGGGAATCTGTTGCCACCCTTGATTCCCTCCAGGGCCTCTGGTCAGATTCTGATGCTCTTCTACGGAAGCTTCCTGGAGAGCCCTGCCCCAGTGCTGGTCCAAAGGGGATGACGGCCTTGAGCCAAAAGTCCCCTGATTTCTCCATGTGCCACACTTGGGGGGGGGCGCTGCCCTGCTTCCTGTTTGAGAGTGAAGGAGCGGCCCAGAAATGTCCTGCTGGAGGAGCTGGTGCCCCTTGGTGCTGGAGGCTGGCGAGTCCTGGCTTGGGGCTGGGCCTGTTCCCATCTCTCCCCAGGCCTTGTTTGTTCTGCCCTTCCTTCTCCTGGGTTTGCCCAGGGAGGGGCGGCTGTGGGGTGGAGGGAACCACAGGGAGGAGCAGCGCAAACAGCTCACTGCCTCCTGCCCGTTTCCTCTTTTTGCCCCCAGGAGAGCCCCCCCAGAATTCCTTAGCCACTGTGTCCCCTGCCTATGGGGTGCTGCTACTGCTGCTGCTGCTGGTGTGACTCAGTGTGGGCCTTGGCACCAGGGCAGGATGTGAGCAGCGCCCCCACGTCCTCTGGCGTCAGAGCGCAGGCCGCTGGCCCAGATGTGTCGGCTGCGGCGGCAGCAGCTGGAACTTCTCTGTGGTTTCGAAACTGTTGCACTGCACATTCCTCTGGTGTGCTGGGACCCAGCCCAGTTCTGCTTCTGGGGAGCCAGGCGGGGCCTGGGCCTGGCTGCCCTGGAATGTGCTCCTGGGGCCGTGGCGGGACGGGGGGGGGGGGCAGCCACTGGAGCAGCAGCCCTGCAGACTTTGCCCTGGGTGTCTCTGCTCCCAGCTGCACCGTTTGGAGTGGGGTGGGGTGGGGTGGCACCCAGTGACCTTCTCCAGACTCTTCCCTCAAGGGGGGGGGGATCTGAGGAACCACTGGGAAGCCATAGGAACAGGAGGATGAAGGTGCTGCCCCCCAGCCCCCTGAGGTGTGCATGGGGTTCCTGCTCCTTCCCTTGCACCTTCTGCAAGGTTCAGCCCTGCCCCCTCCTCCCTGCCCACACCTGACAGGGCGCCTCCAGGTGTGAGCGGAGGGGCCCTTGGGGGGGTTGGCGCATGAACACCCCCGCAGCCCTGTGGCCATTAGTTGGGCGTTGCCCTGCTAGCAGGGTGAGTCACAGCCCAGCCTCGTGCCAGCCTGGTGCCTTCCCCCCGGGCAAGCTCCAACGCTGTGCCCACGCTTCCAGACTCTGGGCCTGTCAGGATGGCTGCCCCGAAGGTTGTGCTGAGTGGCCCTGGGAGAGAGCAGCAGGGTGGGGAGGTGCCAGCTATTGCCTCCTGGGCATTGGGAGCCCTGCCTTCTTCCTCTGAGTCTGCTGGCAGCAACCTTCTTCCCTGGTGCTAGGAAGACCCGGCCACACCACCGGCTCTGGCTGGCCCACGTGGTGCCCCTTCTGCAAGTCACTTGGGGGCAGCATCTCATTGTATCTCCACACCAGCCCTGTGAGGTAGGCTAGCCAGAGAGAAGGGTTTTCCCCAAGGCTACCCAGTGAGTGGAGATTTGAACCCAGACCACAACACACTGCCCACCATGGCCCTTTACACCACTCTTGCCCTCAGCCTTGAGAGGTGCTGGACTTTCCTTCATTGGAGGCTTTCAAAACTAGATGGAATGACCACCTGCCCTGGTTTATTTAGCTGTGATTCTGGCATTGCAGGGGGTTGGACTAGATGGCCTCTGGGCTCCCTTCTAACTCTACAGTTCTGTGATTCTGCTGGCCTGCCTGCATCAAATCAGATCAGGGAGCGGAGCTGGCTGGGAGTCTTAAAAGGGACCATGAATGAAAGTGGTGATGGAAGTATTTCCTTTGGGTATACTCTGGGCGGAAACAGGAGCACTGTGTTTCCGCTCTGTGTTGATTGTGGGGGCCTGATCCCCTTTTTTTGCTCGCCTTGCTGGGTGCAAGGGGAACTCTTCTTCCAGGCCTCTGCTTCATGCTGGCCAGGAAGCGGTTAAGTTTTCAGGAAGCCCTCTGGGCAGAGCTGAGGTTTCCTGCCGGCTGGGCTGGGCAGAGCAGGGAAGCCCAGTCCCCTCCCTCGGAGAGAGTGGTGGGCAGGGCTCAGGGGAGGCGCTGAGGGCCCATCCCGGCTGGGGCAGGGCTCAGGCAGTTGCTGGCGGCAGCATCTAGATGCTGCCAGGAGCCGAGTCTGTTTGGTTCAGCGCCTTGTGCCCGGAGCCTGTGCCCACAGCCGCTGCCCCCACCATGTCCCGGCAGAGGCTGCGCAGCCGAGAGGCGGCCGATGGGCCCCCCACCTCCCCAGGGCTGGCCGACCAGAGCAACTCGGAGGAGAACCTGTACAAGGCGGTCCTCAGGGCATCCGAGGGCAAGAAAGGTACTGGGTGGGTGCGCTTGAGGGGTTAATGCTGCCCCACCTGGGACAGAGATGGCGATGGGTGGGGCGTTTTGCATTTTGCGTTTCCCCACAGCTTCCTTCCTTCCTTCCTTCCGCCCTCCCTCTGGGCACAGTGGGGCCTGCGCTATGGGGAAGTGGGAGGCTCTGGCTAGGATGAAGGTCCAAGAAGGGTTGTGGCTGCTGCCAGGCTATGTGTTTGTGTGTTCCTGCACATGCACTGCGTGGTGGGGCAGCTTTGCTCCGGCAGGTGCCCTCAGCTTGGCAGCGGGTCTGGGGCTTGGGGTGCTGGTGAGGTGCTCCTGAAAGGCACTCCAGGGGTCCCTGGGCTCAGGCAGTTGGCTGCTTTTTCTGAGGCCCTCAGAGTTGGGGGCCCCCTAAGCCTGGCACAGCTGGGTCTCCTGGGGTGGCTGTGCTGTGTGTGCCCACCTTGAGTAGCGGCTGTGGCTGCTTTTTTGCTGTCAGACTTGGGTGAGCTTGCCACCTTTAAGTGGGGCCCCTGTGCCTTTAACAGGCAGAAATTCAACAAGTTAGGCTTTCCGCCCCTCTGCAGATTTGCGCCTGTTGACTCTCCACCAGCCCCTGAAAATCCAGGTGTGGGGGGATATTCTAGGAGAGCTTCCTTGGCCAGCCCCTTAGGAGGCTGTGGGTTGCCAGCCAGGCGTGGGGGGCAGCACATGAGGCCTTGGGGTGGGTTGGGCACTCCCTGCACATTCCCTGTCGGGGTGGGGAGGGGCCGACCTTGTGCTTCCAGGGCTCCTGGCTGCTCTGCTTCTGCTGGGCAAATCCCAGCCTGCAGGAGCCAGAGGAGGAGGAGGAGGAAGGGAGCGAGACACAACAAGCCAGCCCCTGGTCTGGCCCGGAAGCCATGGCAACCGGTCACATGGGGGCTGAGCCAGGGCGCCCTGCCCAGGCACCAGGGGATGGCCGAGGGGTCCCCTGGGGGCAGAGGGGGCACCCAGTGACCACTTAGCTAGATTGTTGGCCCAGGTGGCATCCTGTTCCCTGGCAAGACCCCCCCCCCAGGAATCCTGCCTCCTGCCTTAGAGTCATGGAACTGTGGGGACCTCAGGGGTCATCTAGTCCAACCCCCTGTCCGAGGGCGCCATGGGGTTGAGGCAGACTGTGCTCTCACCAAGTTTGGGCAGAGGCGCCAGGCCTCTTTCTGCCACCTCTTACAGGACAGGGTCTTTCCAGGAGGGTGGGGGTTTTTTGGGTGCTCTCTTTTGTTTCCACCTGTGTAGCTGGATTCCTTTCTCCCTGGGCACCCCATTGTTGTCATGGGGGGAGGAGCGCACTCCTCCTGATTGCGGTGGCCTCTTTGGGCTTCCTGTGGCCCACGAATGTGGTCCTAGCCATGGACTTGGGTGACTGGACAGGGATTATATCCTGACCCACGGGAGAAGGACCTGTTGGTGGCTCTTCACTGGGACCCCCGAAAATGTCTCTGGGCCCCGTGCCCTCATGCGGTGCTGGTTTGGAGGCATCCCAGTCACCAGCAAAGCCCCTCAGGCCTGGCTCCCGGTGTGCAGCTGGCCGGAGGAGGAGGGGCTGTGGTGGCGAAAGCAGAGGGCACAGAGCAAGCGCAGGACTTTGGAAAGCTGGTATCACCGGATAAAGTTCATCAGTTTTGTTGCATTAATTAGTTTTAATTGGATTTTGAATACATGTGCCGTTAATTGTCGTTGCTTTGCATTTTATTGTGTTGTTATCTTCCTTCGCGTGTCATGCAAACTGCTATTCTGAATAATGCTTTTATAGGGCAGGGTGGGGGGTGCTGGGCATGGGCTTATGGGACCGAGGGGGCAGTGGATCCCAAAAGTTTGGGGGTCAGGGGTGCAGATGACCCTGAACTGTGGACCTGATGGTCTGAGTGACTCAGGGGAGGGCAGCTTCCTCTGTGAGTGTGGTGGGGAGACCTTTGTGGGAGGGGCCGGGGGGCCTCTTTTTCTCTTGCTGGGCGCCTTGGCATTTGTGCCAGGCCTGCTACGGGTGATGGTGCAAGGGGCTGGCACCCGGTGCCTGAGTCACTCTTGCATTTCCTTCCTGTTGCATCGGGTGAATCACCTCCCTGCGCCTGGTGGTGATTCTGGCTACGACTGCCGCTGCCGCCTCCCCCCTCTGCAATTTCCTTCCTGGAGGTGGGGGCTGCCCCCAAACGTTCTCTGAGCTGCTCCCTCCAGCCCCTCGACTCATGTCCGCCTCTCCTCTCTTGCAGACGAACGGGATCGGGTCCAGAAGAAAACCTTCACCAAATGGGTCAACAAACACCTTATCAAGGTAAGGGGACACCTTCCCCTGCACCCCCCCAAATAAAAATTCCCGGGAGGTGGCTGGCCAGGCTGAGAGCCTCTCAGGGCTGCCAAGCGAGAGAGAAATATATTCCAACTAAATGAATCTGAGGACACTCTGGCTGGGGGGGGGGGGCCTTTGGGTGGGTGAAGACCCAGCTTTGCCAAGGACATGGGGGGGGGGGGGGGTTGAAGGGTGCCTCTTTCTCTTCCCTCCCCCATTCCCCTGGCAGACAACCATCCCATTCTGGATCTGACACGCCCCGTATTTCCTTCCCCTGTGGTGGAAAGAACACCCCCCCAACCCGCTTCACTTCTGAATCGGTCTATTATCTCTGTGGTTGTGGGGTGTGGTCTGCCCCCCCCCCGCCCAGTCCTGTGACTCCTGTTGCCAGAGGTGCCCACAGAACTGTAGGATTGTCAAACTGGGAGAGACCCCCGAGGCTCATCTAGTCCAGCCCCCTTGCAATGCAGGAATCACAGTCACTTGGGGGGTGGGTGGGTGGGTGGGCTGTCCTTCTCCTTCCTTTGGGGCTGCAGGCCCCATGGCCCCCAACACCCAGACCCTCCAGTGTCTTGCCAGCCAGTGGCACCTGGGGGGCAGCCCCATCCCCGGAGCGGACTCCTTTGCTTTGAAACCTTGGCAATATCAGCAACATGCTCTGACCAGCTGAGCTGACCATCAATTTCAATGGGTCTCCTCTGAGTAAAAGCTGAATGCCTTCATCAGGGGGCTCTTCTCTCCACCACCGGCAGCCTCATGAGAGGTAGAAACCTGCCCGGTGGGACCCTGATGCCCCTGGCCATGTGGTGCCCCTGCCAGGCTTGGTGGGGGCAAGGGCTGGGATGCCCAGTGTGAACCCACCAGTGCCAGGCACCCTGCAGGTTCCGTCCCCTGGCATGCTGTGCCCCCCAGGCTCTCTCTGGGGCTGTTTCCTCTTCTTCCTAACCTCTTTCTCTCTCTTCCTGCCTCCTCTCCTCCTCTTCCTCCTCCTCCTCCTTCTTCCTCCTTCCTGGCAACAGCACTGGCGAGCAGAGGTAGGTGCCCAGGAAGTGCCCAGGGCTCTGTCTTGCTCTCTCCTCCTTTCTCTCCATATTTCCTTCTGCTCTGTCCATCCGAACACCCAAAGGTGCCTCGGGGAGAGTCAGGCCGCCGGCTGGTGACTCCCAGGCCTTTCAGGGGACTTCCCCGTTTCCCTGGGGGGCGGGCTCCCACAGCTTCCCTGCTGCTGAACTGCAGCCCCCACCCCTTGCACTGTGCTCCCCTCAGGTGGCGGCTGCTGCCAGGAGGGTCTGCAGAACTAGCGATCCACTCGGAGTGGAGAGGGGATGCCTTTTGGGTCAAACATTTTAAGGTTGGCCAGGCCTGGGGGTGGGGGCTCCTTTCAGGATGGGATCAGTGCCCCCTGTGTGGTCAGGGCCTGGGATCCCTAGTTTCAGGCCTTGCCCTTTGCTTGCTGGTGGTAAATGGGTGGGAGGGGGGCTGGCTGGCTCCCCCCTGCCGGTCCTGACTCTCTCTTTGCCCCTTCCAGGCCCATCGCCACGTCAACGACCTCTACGAAGACCTCCGCGATGGGCACAACCTCATCTCCCTCCTGGAGGTGCTCTCAGGAGATACTCTGGTACGTAGAATCCTCACCCCCGGGGGGACTGGCTGCTCCCCCCGTACCCCCAGATAGCAGGAAAGCAAGTCTGGCCAACAAGGCCCCCTCCTAACGCTGCACTGCCCCCCAGCTCCTGCTGCCTCCCCCCGGAGTGTTTTAGCCCCCTCCTCTCCTGCCTGCTCCCCACCCCCCCTCCCTATTGCCCTCCTGCTTGGGGCTCCCCCCCTCAACCCCCCTCGGGTCCATCTCCCTGCTGAGCCTGGAGTTGCCAGCTCCTGGGCAGACTTTTTTGGGGGGGGAATGTCCCCCCATCCAGTGCTCTGTGCCTGCCAACTCCATTTTGCAGCCCACCTGATTCTGAGAGTCCAGCTCTTTCTTTAAAAAAACAAGAGAAGCATTTGGGGGGGCAGGAAGGGGGCTTCTTTGCTCTTGCCCAGCTGCTCCCCCCATCTTCCTTTTTAAAAAACATAATTTGCATTTGATTTTACAAATGTAAAGATGCAACAATACCAAATACATGTCCATATTTAGAGATTTCTTGGAATCCCCAGACTTGCCTCCATCCTGGGTCCTATGGGCAACATTTTCAGCTGCATATTATTTCATAATCCATATTTTGCAATTGTCCGTAGTAATTGTTACGCTACAAGTGTTATTAGAATCCTGCTAATGTTTTCATCTGCTTGCAGGGGTCTCCTAAATACGCCCCCCCAATCTTCCAGTCCTCTGCCCACAGTCCGTCTGTGCCCCACTTGCAGGGGGGAGGGTTGCCCTAGAGAAGCCTTGGCGAATGGCAGCAAGTGTGGGGCACAGGCAGGCAGAGAGCCCTGGAGCCCCTTAGAGGAATGGGCCCCCCAGACCTGCTCAGGCTCCCTTTGGGGTTCAGAGCACCCACCCCACCTCCCACAACTCCAGAGGTCCAGAGAGTTAGTTTGAGGAGGCGTCGCTCACCTTTTGCCCCAGGAACTTTGCAGCGCAATGCTGGGTGCCTGCCCTGCCTGGGAATAACAGCTGCTCACCTGCTGCTCTCGTCTTTGGTTGCTCCCCCCGCCTCCCCCCTCTGTCTATGCGCTCTAACACCGTAACTCTTGTGCGCTGCACGGGGGTCTCTCTCTGTCTCTCTCTCTCTCTGCTGCCCGCTCTGTTTGTCTCTCCTCCGGGCGGGACTCTGCCTTCTGACTGCTGCCCTTTGGCCTCTGCCCCCCTCTTTGCTCGGCTCCCACCTGCCGCCGCCCCGTAGCCCAGAGAGCGCGACGTGATCCGGAACTTGCGGTTGGTGAGTGGTTCTGCTCTGCCCCCCCTTGTCGCTTTCTGCATGGCATTGCACCCGCCACCCACACGCCTGCCCTGGGTTGAGCTGCTGGGGTGGGTGCCAAGGAGACCCATCTCCCTCTTGCTGGCGCAGAAGTGCTGCTGCTCCTGCCTCTCCCAAGGCGAGCTCTGCCTGGCACACGGCCAGAGGTGCCACCTCCCAGGGGCTGAGCTCTTTGGGGGGCCCCAATATTTTGGGGGCTCCCCAATGCTCAAAAGCGGTGGAGGAAGAGCTCTTGGCCATTGAAACGATGCAGCCCCCCATTCATCTCTGCTCCTGGCTCCGCCCAACATCCTGACATCACATGCATGGTGGCGCCGCCCTCCATTCTCCCTCGGAAGTTGGTGCATCTGCCCACGGCTAGCTAATGCCAGGCCTGGATGGAGGGGGGACGTTGTCCCCTGGCCTCCAGCCATGTGGCTATTGAAGGAGTTGGTTATGGGCGTCAGGGTGCTAAATGGGAGGGAGAGGAGGGCCAGTGAAGGGGGTGGGCCAGTGAAGATCCCAGCAAGCCATTCCCCAGCCCCCCAGGTTTGGCTTCAGCCGGGCCTTGGCTGGGGCGGGGGCAGGATCTGCGCTTGCAAAGAGGGAAGAGGGCTTCTCTGTATCTGCATCCTTCCTCTTCTCCTTGTGCCAGCCCCATAGCTGGGCAAGGGTAGGGGGTTCCTCAGATGGGCCAGTGTGTGGCAGGAAGCAAGCCAGGAAGGGGGAGGGGAGGAGGCGGATGACAGAAGCCTTTACACTGGCTCTGCCTGAAGGTGTCCGGTGGGGGGAGAGCATTTCCTGGACATTGTTTTCTGACTTGCGTCTGGCAGGAAGGATTTGGGGGCTGGCCTCCCCCTTCTTTCCTCCTGCTGGGCTGGGATCCTCTGCTGGGGAGGCTTGTTTGGACCAGGGCAGGGTTGTTGTTTTTTTGGGGGGGGTCACTGCGCCCAGATGTGGAGCCTGGCAGGGCAGAGACACTGACTTCCCTCCCGCTCTCCCCGCAGCCCCGCGAAAAGGGCCGGATGCGGTTCCACAAGCTCCAGAATGTGCAGATTGCCCTGGATTACCTGAAGCACCGGCAGGTGAGACCCGGGAGCTGGTGAAGGGGCTGGGGGTCAGGGAGGGAGGGAGTCTGGCCTGGCATGCCTTGAGGGGTCGGGGTGGCTGGAGCCCCCCTGATAATTGGCGTGATGTGCCATTTCCCAGGTGAAGCTGGTCAATATCCGGAACGATGACATTGCGGACGGAAACCCCAAGCTGACTCTGGGCCTCATCTGGACCATCATCCTCCACTTCCAGGTGAGTGGGGAGGGGAGCCTGCTGTGGGGGGGGCACTGAGGGGACACTGAGCGCGGCATGGGAAATGGGCCTGGGCACAGCTATGCCAGAGCCTGCCTGCCTTGTGGTGGCCCCTGAGGCCTGCCAGCCAGGTCCTGTCAAATGCAAGACGGTTCTTTTAAAATTAGATTCAGAAGCAATACAAAGGCAAGTGTGTGAGAAGATTACAGATTTTATTCTGAACAGCAGGTAAAATATACATTACCAAGCAGCACTTCAATCTGCCACTGGGAAGCTCAAAGAAGTGGCAAAGTGATTCCCCCCCCCCCCGATAGTCTTCCTTTGCCCAACCCTCTGGCCATGAGTCTGTGCCCAGCTTCTCACTGCCATGCTCAAAAACTAGATATTTGAGAGATGCCGTGCCCTCTTAGGGCCAGGGCAGGTTTGTCTAGGAGCTATTCTACATCAAAGACCAAAAGCCAGGCCACACATCAAAGGCTTTCACTGACCAGTGCTGTTTGCCAACAGACCACACATCAAAGACTCTTTTTTTCCAAGGGATAGAGAAAGTAAGAAAACATAGATAACCGGAGCCAGGAAGAGTTGAGCATGTCAGTTCACTATCTCCTCAAAATCACAACAATCTTCTGGAATAAGTTCCCCATACTCTTCATTCCATGCCAGGGCAGGGCAGGCAGGGTCTTCTGAGGGGAAGGGAAGGGAAGGGAATAAAAATAAAAATAATAAATTTTATTTATACCCCGCCCTCCCCGGCCAGATCCGGGCTCAGGGCAGCTAACACCAATAAAATCACAGTAAGAACATAATAGGGGAAAAGAAAAAAACACCAATTTAAAATACAAGTTAAAATGCAATTTAAAACGCAGCCTCATTTTAAAAGTAGCCAATAGATCAAGGTGCAAAATCCCCTCCTAAGCTCCTGTCTCTTGGCTTGTTGGTCATCTGATCTCAGACAAACCAGTCAAACCGATCAGTCACATTGAGCTCCAGCGAAGAGTCCTGGCTGAGTTGTGGCCCAGCCCCACAGTTCAGGCCCCCCCCCCTCGTGGGCTGGGTCCCCTCATGAGACGGAAGATGCGCCAGCATTTTAAGACAAGGGGCAGTGGGGTGCAGTGGTTAGAGGGCCATACGAGGACCTGGGAGAGCGGCGTTTGAATCCCCACTGGGTGATTCAGATCGCAGGGTGACCTTGGGCCGGTCGCTGCCTCTCAGCCTGCCCTGCAGGGGTGTTCTGGGGATTAAATGAGCAGGATTAAACCGTTCTCTGCCGCCTTGATCTTCTTGGAAGCAAAGATGAGGTGTAACTGGAGCAAAACAGCCAATCAGTGAATTGTGGGAGTTTGGGAGGATAGGAGAGGCTTTGCCTGGGGGGCACTGCAATGGAGGGCTCTGCTGGAAAGGCCCCCTCCCTTGCTGCCTCCTTTCTCCCCCCCCCATTCTTTTATGCAGAGTGAGGGTGCATAGAAGGAGACCCAGGAGAGAGGCTCTTGCCTCGTGCAGGGGGAGGGGCACCCTGAGGTGCTGCTGGGGAGGAGCACTCAGGGTGGGGCCGCTGCTGTGAGCTGTGGTTGCAGCAGGAGAGGAGTCTGTGGCTGGCTGGGCCTGACTCACCCCTCGCTCCAGGACACACAGATTTTCCAGCGCTAGACGCTGATGCAACCACCTTGGCTTGTGCCCCAGAGAAGAGGGGGGGAGAAGGGAGGGGGGCACGTGCCTCTTGGGGGACCCAGTGGGCACCCCTCTCTGTATCTGGCATCTGGCAGCCACTGTGAGAACAGGATGCTGCCTTGATCCAGCCGCATAAGGACACCATCAGAGCTTGCTGGATGAGACCCGAGGGGCCCCCTCTAGCCCAGCCCCCTGTCCCCACAGGGGCCAACCAGATGCCCCAAAGCAGGATTGGAGCGCAAGAGCAGCCCTCTGCCCTCCCTCAGGCCCTTCTGGCTCAGAAGGCAGGCAGGATGCCCTGGGGAGAAGGTGCCCATCCTCCCTCTGCCCTGCTTGGCCGTCCGATGCCCGTTTGGCTCTCGATGCCCTGCCCCGAACACACCTATCCATTCCTCCTCCTCAGCCCCCTTGGCATGGGCAGTGGGGCTGCCGTGGGTTTTGCTGCAGAATGATGCTGGCCCTGGCTGCCCCCCGTTGGTGCCCGCCCAGCTCACCCCTCGGCTTCCCTTGCCCACAGATCTCGGACATCCAGGTGAGCGGCCAGTCGGAGGACATGACCGCCAAGGAGAAGCTGCTGCTGTGGTCCCAGCGGATGGTCGAGGGCTACCAGGGCCTGCGCTGCGACAACTTCACCACCAGCTGGCGAGACGGGCGCCTCTTCAACGCCATCATCCACCGCCACAAGTAAGGGGGGTCTGCAGGAGGGGTTTTTAAAAAATCAAACGCAAATCTGGATGCAGGGAAAGTAGGATAGACGCCAAGTGCCTCAATGCTGTTCGTCCGATGACTCACACGCAGCCCAGCCCTCGAGGGAGACCCTGCGGGTTTGTGGTTTGGTGGAGGGACGGAAAAGGAGGGGAAGTGAGACGCCGTGAAGGGGGGGGTCAGAGGGACGAAATGGGGAAGGAGATCTGGGGAGGCAGCGGAGGAAAGGGAAAGCAATCCCCACACATTTCCTGCTGCCCCAAATTTCCTTTCTCTTCAGAAAGGTGCTTGAAGGTTAAGAGTAGAAAGGAGGGGGCCAGCACGCATTTTTCCTAGCCCCCCAATTCCCTTCCATCCCTGCAACTAGAGTCTCAGCCGGCCTGACTCTGGCTCTCGGTGGTCTGCCAGGGGCAGAATGGCCCCCTCTGCTGCTTCTCCCTCTGGGTGAGCCCTGGCCCCCCCTGCAGAGCAGCGCAGGCGTTGCTTGCGGGACTGCAGCCCCCGCTCTCCCGCTCTGCCCCATCTCTTCCTCCTGCCCCCCGCTTCCTCTCCCCCCCCCCATGAGAGCTTGCCTGCACCCACTTGGCTGGGCTTGTTTGCTCAGAGGCGGCCTGCAGCAGGGGAGAAGGCGGGGTGGGGGTGGGCTGCTGTCCTCCTGCCCCTTCTGTGCCCCCCTTCTCCCCCCACTCTGGGTCCCCAAGACCTGTGGGGAACATCTCTCCCCCTGCCCCAGCCCCAGCCTGGAAGAGTGAGTCCTTCAGGGAGAAGGTTATTGGCAGAGCAGTCCTGGCGGTGGGCCGGATGGCAATGGCGGATCTGCAAAGCTGCAACAAGTCTGAGCCTGGCGCCCGCCTGCCCCACCTTCCCACACGTGGCTGGGAGCAGGGCGGGGATCCGGCCCACCCTGCCGGCGCGCTCCATTCGGAGCAGGGAGTGCAGTGGGGCCAGAGGCAGCAGACACCTTTGCTGCTCCCTCCTCCGAGCGCGTGGGCATGAGCGGGCATTCGCGTGGCAAGCGCCGGGCCGGGCGCCGGGGCCTGGTGGGGTCTGGATCCCTGCGGACCAAGGAGGAGCGGGTGGTGATGGTCTGTGAGGAGGTGCCCCCCGTGGACTCTGGGCTGCGGGCACAGACGCTGCCACGCTCCAACGGGGCTGGCGAAGAAGGATGGGCGCTGGCAGGAGGCCGGAACGTCAGCGGCTCCCTCTACTCCGTCCATTCCACGCTGCGGCTTCAGGAAATGTAGGAGGGTCTCCTAGCCACCCCCCTGTTCCCCTGAGCTCCCCCCTCTCCTTCCTGTAACTGTGTATGGGGGTGTCAGTTGGGGGCTTCCTCGCCAGCTTAAGGGAGGCAGTCTGTGCTGAGTCCCACCCTGACTCTGGCCCTGGGGAATAGGAAGTTCCTTCTCTTAATTGTGATTTTTTGGGGGGGGGGCTCCCTCCCATGGGATTCCATAGCTGAGCTTTCTTCTGTGGCTGTTGGTCCCATCTGGGGCTGGGAAGGAGCAGCATCTCTGCAGGGGGGGGGGGAGGATTTTGTTTTTGTTTTGCCCTCCCCTTTGCCCCATGGCTTGGCTCACTTACCTGAGCACCGCGGGAAGCTTTTTCTGTGCTCTGCCGCCTGGCGTGTGGCGGCTCCTGCTCCTTGCCACCTGGCTGGGATTGTTGGGGCTTACCTGGAAGGATACAGCCAGGTGTGATCCTGCCTTGGGCTGGGCTCTTGCATCTTGCCGGCGCTTGCCTGCCACTGCTTGCTGCCAGGAGATGCTTCTGAGCTGAGTGGAGGCCTCTCCCGTCCCCCCCCCCCCCGCTTTAGCCCCAGCACTGAGCAGCCTGTTGCTACAATTTGTGGGGAGGGGGCTGGGCCAGGCTTCTAAATTCAGCATGCCATGCCCCTGCCCTGAACACCTTTGGGGACTCAAGAAGGTGCATTTAAACCTGTATTTTAAATTGCCCCCCCCCAATTACGTTTTTACTGTAATTTTACTATTGTGAGCCACCCCAAGCCTGGCTCTGGCCTGGGAGGGCAGGGTATAAATACAATTATTATTATTATTATTATTATTATTATTATTATTATTATTATTTTGTCCCCCCCCCATCCATCCCTTGGGTTTTCTGCTGGACACAAGGACAGAGGGAGAAACACACACCCCCGGAGGTCAAATGCCTGTTTTCCTGTGGGACTTCTTCAGCCTTTCCGACGTCCAGGATGCTGCCCCACTGGTGCCCACCAAGGCTCTCCCCAGGCAGATAGATAACTCCCCACCCTTTTCACTATTTTGTGGGCGATGTTTGGTGTTTGGCCTGTTAGGGATGGGCAGTCCTGAGTGCTGCCAGTTTTCCTGCTGTCAAAATGGGTTTGCTTTGGTGTTCATCGCTGTTCCTTAGATTTCCAAATGTGCTGCTGGCCCCCCCAAAGTTGGAAGCCCCTTGAAAGGGTTGGAAGGGCCATTTGGTGCCCCCCTGCAATTCAGGAGTGGGAGCTCTGAACCCTCTCCTCTCCCCCCAACAGGCCGATGCTGATTGACATGAACAAAGTGTATCGCCAGACCAACGTGGAGAACCTGGAGCAGGCCTTCTCCGTGGCCGACCACGAGCTGGGAGTGACGCGGCTGCTGGACCCGGAAGGTGCGTAGGGATACAGGACAATCGTGGGGTTGGGGAGGACCCCGAGGGTCATCCAGCCTCACCCCCTGCCCCGCAGGAGTCGCAGCTCAAGGGGAGTGGGCGCCTGTGTGGGTGGGCAAGTGGGCACAGCCTGGCCGCTCTGTGGAGGGCGTTTGGGGGCTGACGGCCGTTCTCCTGCCCCTTGCAGATGTTGACGTTCCTCAGCCCGACGAGAAGTCCATCATCACCTACGTCTCCTCTCTCTACGACGCCATGCCTCGCGTGCCTGACGTGGTGGACGGCGTCAAGGCCAACGTGAGTGGGGGGCATTTGGGGGGGCAGAAGAAGCCTTGGGGGGCTTGGGGTTGGGACCCCCCTCTGACATCTCCCTCTCGCCCCGCCAGGAGCTGCAGCTGCGCTGGCAGGAGTACTACGAGGTGGTGACGCTTCTCCTGCAATGGATCCGGCACCACACGGTGATCTTTGAGGAGCGCAAGTTCCCCTCCAGCTTTGAGGAGATTGAGGTGAGAGATCCACCCCCCATCTTGGCCCTAGCCCACCTCTCCCACCAAGACTGGGCCCACCTGAGCCCCCCACTGCTCTGCCCCCGCAACCTGGCCCTCCCTGGCAGGACACCCCCCACGACCTTTGTCCCTGCCCCAGTCGCCTGCTTCCAAGCCTGTCCCTCCAGAGGGGCTTCAGGAGCAGGCTGGGTCTCCTGAGTCAGCTCCTCCTCGGCTCCCTTCCCCCTTCCCTGGCTGGCACCGGATGAAAGGGCAGGCAGTGCGCTCCCTCCTCCTTGGTCATGAGAGGATCCTGGCGGCTGCCAGCGTCGGGGCAGGCGTGCCCAGGCAGGGTGCCCAGGGGAAGGAGGCCCAGGAGTGCGAATTTTACGGGCTGCTCTGGCAGAGGTCCAGGGGGCCAGGCTGAGCGCCGCCCAACAGCATCCGGGTACCTCTCTGGCCCTGGGCTGCCATAGAATCGAAGGACGGTAGAGTTGGAAGGGACCCTGGGGGTCATCTAGTCCAACCCCCCCTGCAAGGCAGGAGCTGCTAGTTCGGAAGCCACTAGAAAAGCAGAACAGGAGGACTGTGGGGAAGAGGCATCTCTCAGCGGCTGGACAGGCAAGAGGTCCCAGGCTCAGACTTACCTGAACCCCCAGAGACCCACGGCTGCCAGTCTGTGTGGGCCATAGGGAGCCAAGGGGACCCCAAGGAACAGACCCACTCCTAATTCTATTTCCTGTGCCGGAGAGGGGCAGTGCCAGCCTTTGCCCACAAGCCCCGGAGAGTCCCGCGCTCTGCCCTTCCCCCCCCACTGACCCCCGCTTCCTCCCCCCACCCCAGATCCTGTGGCGCCAGTTCCTGAAGTTCAAGGAGACGGAGTTGCCCGCCAAGGAGGCCGACAAGAACCGCTCCAAGGCCATCTACCAGTCTCTGGAGGTGAGGGTGGCTCTTCTCTCCCCGCCCCATCTTGCTATGGGGCAGGCTTGGGGAAACGCGTGGGGTAGCGCTGGATGGGGGCTGCGTTGCGATCTGGCCAATGTCCTTTGATGGCTGGTTAACCCTTTAACGGGGGGCCTGTTTAGGCCGTGGGGGGGGGGACAGGTCCAGGTCTTCAGAGGCCAGTCCCCTCCCCCCGGCAGTTTGCAGACCCCAGTGCAGCGACAGGACAGCTGCTTGGCATGCAGAAGGTCCCAGGTTCAACGCTCTCCAGCGTCTCTCTCTCTTTGGGCCTGGAGGAGGTGGAGCGATCCTGGCTCTGGGCCTGCACCAGGCGGGGTCTGGCTGCCATTGGCCAGCAGGGGAGGTCAGCCCAGGAACGTGGGCACAAGGTCCGAGCCCCTCCTGGCCTGGACTTTGGGTGAGCCTTGAAGCACCCCCTGAGCCAGAAAGAAGAGGTGCCCCCCACACGTATAGGCCCCTTGGGGCTCATAGGAGCATAGAGTTGTAGGAAGGGACCCCACGTGTCATCTAGTCCAGCCCCTGCAGTGCGGGCCGCCCAGCTGATCTGCCTTTCCTGTGACCGTTGTGTCCTCGTTTCTCTTGCCCCATGGCAGCCGTCTGTCCAGTCTGGGCAGCTGAAGGTTCCTCCCGGCTACCACCCACTGGACGTGGAGAAGGAGTGGGGCAAGCTGCACGTGGCCATCCTGGAGCGAGAGAAGCTTCTGCGCTCCGAGTTCGAGAGGTGGGGCAGCTGTGCAGTTGGGCCCTTGGGCTGAGTCTGCCTGCCTGGGGGGCGGAGGCACAGGGAGAGGGTGCCACTCCCTCCTTCCTTGGTGGGGGGGGAGGGAGCACGAGAGTCCGGCTGGGTCCCTCCCCCTCCCTCCCTCCCTCCCTCTCCCCCCTCCGCCCCAACCGGCTGCCAGCCCAGCCCAGCTTTAATGGGAAACACACGGTTGGTGACTCATCTGCGCCGCCGATCTCTTCAGGAAACGGCACAGCTTGAACCGCAGAGTCAGGCCGGGGAGGCAGCCGAGAGCAGCATCAGGAACAGCTGCTGGTGGGCCCCGGGGCTCCGCTTTTGCTGGGGGGGGGCTGGGGAGGCCGGTGGGAGATGCCCAGAGGTGGGGGTGCAAGCGGATCAGCCGCTGGGAGGCGCCTGCACTGACCTGTCGCCTTTCCCTCCTCCAGGTTGGAGCGCCTGCAGCGCATTGTCAGCAAACTTCAGATGGAGTCGGGTCTCTGCGAGGAGCACCTCAACCAGGCGGACACCCTCCTGCAGTCGGTGAGACGCCCTTTCTGTTCCCGGCCCCCCCAGTGTGGGCTGGGCCCCTCCTTGGGCCCCGGACCTTGGGGCGGTCTGCTCTGCAGGGCCGGCTGGTGAGCCGCTTCCCCTTCTCCCCGCAGGACATCCGCCTGCTGGCTGCAGGGAAGGCGCCCCAGAAGTCGGCCGAGATCGAGCGCGACCTGGACAAAGCCGATGCCATGATCCGCCTGCTCTTCAACGATGTGCAGGCGCTCAAGGACGGACGCCACCCGCAAGGGGAGCAGATGTACCGCAGGTCAGCAGCGCTGCTCCTCCTCCGGCCCCCGCAGGGCTTCCTGTGGCCCCCACGGGCCTCTGCTCACTCCATGCTTGCCTGGGCTGCTCTGCAAAAGCCAAGAGCGCCCCCCTGTGCCTGATGGCAGCAGGTGGTAGTGCAGGGTGAATGCTCCTCAGTGATGTGCCAAGGGGTGTCTGGCATGAGCAGGGGGTCCCCTCCCCAGAATGTGAAGGCAGGTGCTTAGCGCCCCCTTGTGGCAACTTACACCCAGCATCTAGTCCGCTGAATGCACCCCATTGCTGCTGCTGCTGCTGCCAGGAGGTGCCCCCTGCCAGGCGACTCCCCCGCTGCCCCCGCTCACCGCCCCCTTCCTCCCGCAGGGTCTACCGCCTGCACGAGCGCCTGGTGGCCATCCGCACGGAATACAACCTGCGCCTGAAGTCTGGGTCGGCCCCCATCGCCCAGGTCACGGTGCCCGTCACGCAGCGCCCGCGCCAGGAGCTGGACGACGTCACCCTGCGCTACCTGCAGGACCTGCTGGCCTGGGTGGAGGACAACCAGCGGCGCCTGAACGCGGCCGAGTGGGGCGTGGACCTGCCCACCGTGGAGTCTCAGCTGGGAAGCCACCGCGGACTCCACCAGTCCATCGAGGAGTTCCGCGCCAAGATCGAGAGGGCAAGAGCGGATGAGGTGAGGGCCCCCCATTGCCAGCTGCCCTCCCCGCAGCACTGCCTGGCCTTAGAGTTGAAAGGGACCCCCGAGGGTCTACTAGTCCAGCCCTCTGCAATGCAAGAATCGCAGAAATGGGACCCTGACCCTGTTGCCTATTGTTAACAGGAATAATATTATTGCACCCACCATAATTGTCCCTCTGAAAGGAGGAAAGTTTTTTGGGGGGTAGGAAGTCATCTGAAATGTGGGTTTTTCCCTTTTGGTCACCAGGACTGTAAGCTCCGTTCCACTGCTCAAACCAATTCTAGGGGCAGCACATCCTTTTTGCCCTCTGCCTCAGCTCTGCCTTGGAGGCAGGGGTGTCTAAGGAGAAGCCAAATAATTCCCCCATGCCTCCCCCCACTTGGTGGGCATGCCGTGCCCAAGGTGCCAGGCAGAGGCAGCTCCCTCTCCATTGCCCCCCCCCCAATTTCATGTGCAGAGGGGAGGGGGGTTGTGGGGTGGTGCTGTGCGCCTGCCCTTGTTACTGCCATGTGTCTGCTGCCTGTCCTGGAACTCTCCGCCTTTTTCTTCCTTCCTTCTCTCCCCCCCCCCCAGGCCCAGCTCTCCCCCGGCCCACGAAGTGCCTACCGGGACTGCCTGAACAAGCTGGACTTGCAGTATGCCAAGCTGCTGGTGAGGAGCATGTGGGCTGAGGGCAGGGAGGGGGAGGGGCTGGATCCCGGTCTCTCCAGGGAATGAACAGGATCTCCTTTCTCCTCCTGGACCCTGTGCGTGATCATCACCTGAGGCTTTTCTTCAGGTGCCTCTTCCACAAGAGAGCTGGAGGGCCTTTTCTGTGGTGGCTCCCCACTTGTGGGATGCTCTCCCTAGGGATTCTTGCCAGGCACCTTCATTGCATATCTTTAGGTACCAGGCAAAGACATTCCTCTTCTCCCAGGCCTTTGGCTACATAAGCAGTCCGTGGCCTTTTAAATTGTTGGGAGGGGGGGTTAATTTTTTTTAAAAAAAATATTGTGCATTTTGCATTTTGATGATGTCAACTGCCCTGTGGAGTTTGGAAAAAGAGCAGTATATACATTTGCTTAATAATAATAATAATAATAATAATAATAATAATAATGGACATGGTTCCTTGTATGTGCCTGTCCTCCAAAATGTGGGTCTTGGCACTCAGAAGAGAAGCCAAATGGGGCTTGTGGGCAGGAGAGCCCAGGCAAATGAAGGAAAGAGGGCAAATCCTTTCCCTACCTTGCACAGCCCAGTCTTGGGACTCTCCTTGGTGTTGGCCCCTTCTCCCCTCCCTGTTTTTTCGAATGGAATCCCAACATCCTTCCCAGCCTGGAGGACGGGTTGGCGAGGGCAGGCTGCCCCCTTGTGGTGCTGGGACCCCAGAGGGAGGAGGAGGAGAGGGTGCCCCTGTGCGCATGCAGAAGGAGGCCGGGCGCCTGACCCCGTCCCCGCTGTGCCCTTGCAGAACTCCTCCAAGGCCCGCCTGCGCCACCTCGAGAGCCTGCAGGCGTTTGTGGCGGCTGCCACCAAGGAGCTGATGTGGCTGAACGAGAAGGAGGAGGAGGAGGTCAACTACGACTGGAGCGAGCGCAACAGCAACATGGCCGCCAAGAAGGAGAGCTACTCCGTAAGGCCCCGTCCTCTCGGGGTGGGGGGTGGGAGGTGGTTGGGGGGGCTGCCGCCCTTTGCCCGCTGACTGTGCCTTTTCTGCCCCGTCCCCCAGGGCTTGATGCGGGAGCTGGAGCAGCGGGAGCGGAAGATCAAGGAGATCCAGAGCACGGGAGACCGGCTGCTGAGGGAGGAGCACCCGGGCAAGCAGACTGTGGAGGTGAGGCTGGGCGCGTGGCCAGGCAGGATCGGGGCCCGGTGGGGAGCGAGGCTTGCCAGCGGGTCCCATGACGGCTGCAGCTCGTGATGGCTGTGGTTGCCTCTGCCACGTGGGCCTCACGAGGCCTCGGCGGGGAGCCACATCCTGGCATTATCTCTCCGGGGGGGGGGGCTCTTGCCACACAACCCCCCCCCCAATGTCTCACAAGACACAGGGGAGCTGAGCTGGGTGGGTGTGCCCCACCCCACTTTCCTGCCCCCAGCTCCTGCCCCATGGCTGAGTTTCTCTCTCTCCCCCTTTCCAGGCCTTCCAGGCTGCCCTGCAGACCCAGTGGAGCTGGATGCTCCAGCTCTGCTGCTGCATTGAGGCCCACCTGAAGGAGAACACCGCCTACTTCCAGGTATCTTGGGCGGGGGGCTGGCCGGGCAGGACTCCCGCTGCTCCTCTGGGGCTGGGCTGCTCCCCTTCTCCCCTGCAGCCAGCCAGCTGCCCTCCTGCGAATGCTCTGGGGCCCCCATTGTCCCTGGGGAGGAGGGGGCACCTCTGGGTAGCTTTCTTCTTGCCAGAGGCAGCTGGGCGTCTCCTCACCCGCCTCTCCCTCTGTCTCTCCCCAAGTTCTTCTCCGACGTGAAGGAGGCGGAGGAATTCCTGCGCAAGACCCAGGAGACCATGCGGAAGAAGTTTGTCTGCGACCGCTCCATCACCGTCACGCGCCTGGAGGACTTGCTGCAGGACTCCCTTGTGAGTGTGGCCCCTTTGCACTGTCAAAGGACATTTCCTGGGCTCACTGGGATAGCCAAACAAAGACAGCCGCCGGGAGTATAGAAGCAAAACAGCAGCCTGTAGGCCTGGTCTTTATTCCAGACTCTTGCAACAGGACTTCCATGCGGTGGCCTGGGAGAAGCCCCGAAAAAAGGGATGCTTCCTCTTTTATAAGTTTTCCCTTTTCCCTATAAAAGCATCATGCACACATCATAGATACATTATGCATGTGGCACAAACTGGGAGGGGTTTCTGGCAGAAACTGGTTCATCAGGTTTTCCCCCAACCCTCCTTGCCCACCACCCATCGAGTGATACAATAGGAATATATTTACAAGTTCCTGGTATTCCCGGTCAGGTCCAAGAACTTAATCCATTCCTGGAGGGTCTTCTGTTGTCTGTGGGATGTCTACCTGTCTGGCACCCATTTGCCAGGATGCCAGTGTGATTTTCTCCCAGGCAAGGAGGCTGCTGAGTATGTGGTCTCAGGCTCAAGGGATTATGGCTGCCCACATCCCAGACTCCCCCCTTGCTAGCCATTCCTTTCCTGAACAGTGGAATGGTGCAAATCCGATACTGGAGCGATTTTATATGAGTTTCTGAAGTTTTCCCATTGAGCCTTACATAGATACATTTATCAGTGAATTGTTGCATTTGGTAATGTGCAGCTGAGGCCCTTTGAAAAGAGATAGGGGGAAACTGTGTGATGAAGTGTTTTGTGGGGACATTTGCAGGAGTGATTGTGCTGATACTGGTAGTGTGTGTGTGTGGGGGGGGCGCTGTATGATGTCTGCTGGAGGGGCAAAGCCTCCTTTCAACCTTTACATAAATTCTGGTAACCCCCCCCCCGTACCCTGCAGGCGTTAGGGGGCTCTATGGGTCTCTTCCAGCTCTACTCCCCTATGAGTCTAACTCTCTTCCTCTCCTGCCGCCCCTCTTTGTGCCCCCCATGCCAGGAGGAGAAGGAGCACCTGGCTGAGTACCAGGGTCAGCTGGCTGGGCTGGCCAAGCGAGCCAAGGCCATTGTCCAGCTGAAGCCACGCAGCCCCAGCACCGCCCTCAAGGGACGACTGCCTCTCCAGGCTGTCTGCGACTACAAGCAGATGGAGGTGAGCGGGGTGGGGGTCACGTGTCCGGAAACCGGGTGGGGGCGGCAAACTGGGTCTGGGGTGCATCTTTTGAGGCTGCTCACTTCCTCCCCCCTCCCCAGATCACGGTGCACAAGGGCGACTCCTGCACCCTCCTCAGCAACGCCCAGCCGTACAAGTGGAAGGTGCTCAACGCGGCTGGGAGCGAGGCCACTGTGCCCTCCATTGTCTTCCTGGTGCCCCCACCCAACAAGGAGGCCCTGGAGGCCGTCAGCAGGTGAGTCAGCCTCACCCCCCCAACCCCCTTGCTTTCCTTTCTCCTTGAGGGCGTGGGGGGCAGATTAGAAACCGTGATTAAATCCTCGGATCGTATCAGCAGAGAGAGATATCGCTGAAGCTTCCACTGCCGCAAACTCATGCGAACATCAAAAGAGCTGGATCAGGCCCACGGGGGGCCCTTCTAGCCCAGCCTCCTCTTCTCACAGTGGCCAACCAGATGCCTCAGTGGGAAAGCCACAAGCAGGATGTGGGCACAAGAGACACCCCCCCCCCACTGCAGTGGGTGCAGGAGCAGTGCTGCCTGCAGCTCTGGAGGGCAAAGCAGAGCCATGACAGATAGTGGCCATCCATAGACACCCCCCAGGGCCTCTGCCCTGCCCCCCCGGCCCCACTTGAGGAGGAGAGCTGCTGTACTGCTCCTTGGGCTCTGGGGGTGGCATGGGGGCACTCTGCCTCTCTGCCCGCTCTTCTCTCGACCCTGGGGAACTCCCAAGCCCCAAGATGGTTCTGCAGCCGCCTTTTCCTCTTTGCCTGCAGGTTGGAGGGCAGCCACCAGAGCCTGCTGACCTTCTGGCACCAGCTGCACATCGACATGCAGAGCCTCCTCTCCTGGCAGTACCTGCAGAGGGACATCCAGCAGATCCAGTCCTGGTCGCTGCTCATAGTGAGGACCGGGTGCTAAGGAGCCTCTTGGGGGGTGGGTGGGTTGGGCCCGCCAGGTGGGCTCGAGGGGGGAGGGAAGGGCCCCCTCCTGACCTGGCCTCTTCCCCTCCCCCAGTTCCGGACGATGCCCCCCGAGGATTACCGGAAGACCTTGCGCAGCCTGGAGACCCACTACCAGGAGTTCCTGCGCAACAGCCAGGACTCCCAGAACTTCCTGCCGGATGACCGGCTGCACGTGGAGCGCGAATACACCCTCTGCAGCCAGAAGTATGAGATGCTGCTGCGTGGCCTGGAGAAAGGTGAGGCGCCCCGTGGCTCTTCCATGGGGGGGGGGGGAGCTCCCTGGCATCTGCAGCCAAACAAATCTCCTGGGTCCCCAGAGACATAGAATCAGATTTTTAGAGGAGGAAGAGACCCCAAGGGGTACCCTGTCCAATCCCTGCAATGCAGGAGTCGCAGCTAGAGACAGGCAGCCAGGCGGCCACTACTTAAAAGCCCACGATCTTCCGAGGCCGCCTGCCTGCTTCCCAGGTTCCTGGGGGGCTGCTTCGTCTTGCTTTGAGTTCCTTCAAAGTCTACAATTCTGTGTGCCCTCCCTCCTGCCTGAATTGCCTCCCCATGACAATAATAATAATAATAATAATAATAATAATAATAATAATAATAATAAATTTTATTTATACCCCACCCTCCCCAGCCAAGACTGGGCTCATGGTGGCTAACACCCAATATATAAAAACAAATTAATTGAAATACAACTTAAAAACAAGATTAAAATATTAAAATACAGCCTCATTTCAATGGAAACTCAAATCAAAAACTTTTTGGGGGATGAAAACGTCCAGACTTCACCAAGGCTAACTTTCCAGACTGGTCCTACATGGGCCAGAAAAAAGCCAGGGAAGTCCCCAAAGAGGAGGTGTTGCAGGCAGAGGGTGTTCTCCAACCGTCCTTCCATCCCTGCTCAACTGGACCCCGGCCAGCCCCCTTTCCTCCCACAGGCTGGCTTTGGAGGCCTGGCCCAGGAGACCCCCCTCTCCCCTTGTGCCCCTTCCCCACACTGGAAGCTGCGTCTGCCGGCTCCTCCACTCAGCTGGACTTGGTTTGCTTGGGGCCGCAGGGGAGCAGGAGGAGTCTCTCTGCAGGAACTTCATCTCTCAGCTGAAGGACATCCGCCTGCAGCTGGAGGGCTGCGAGTCCCGCACCATCCACAAGATCCGCTCTCCGCTGGACAAGGACCCTGCCAAGGAGTGTGCCCAGCGCATCAGTGACCAGCAGGTACTGCCCCCCCCATGCATCCCTTCCTACCCCTGCAGGAAAGCAGCTGCTGCCGAGTCTGACGCTGCTACTGCCAGTGCGGATCCTGACCCCGCTTTGTGGCTTCACTGCGGTCCTCATTCTGCTCCCTCCTCTGCCTCGCTCCTCCCTCTAGCAAATCCACCTGGAACTGGAGGGCATCAAGAAGAACCTGGGCAAAGTGAGCGCCAAGACAGAGGAGGTGTTGGCGCAACCAGAGCAGGCCAGCTCGGCCCCCACCCTCCACTCGGAGCTGGACATCACCCTGCAGAAGATGGACCAGGTGTACAGCCTCTCCAGCATCTACCTGGAAAAGTAGGTCCTCCTCTCACCTGGGACTCTGTCTGCTCACCTGGGCAGCTGGGAGTGGCCAGGAGCTGCTTCCGCTTCCCAAGGCCTTTGGTGCCCTCTTCCCTTGGGTCTGGTGGGGGCCCTTCTCTGCACCTGCTGCCCGGACGATGGGGCTGCTTTTGCATCCTCCGTCTACTGTCTCCTTTCTCCCATTGGCTCTTTCACTGGTCTTGGTCTTTGTTTGCCCAACCTGTGAAAACATTTGGGAGCTGAACCTGTGAGGAAGGGATATTTGTGGGGTGGGTGGTGAGAGCCTCTTGGCTCTTCTTCCGCAGGGGAAGCAGGTTGCCTCATCCACATGGACCCACCTGGTCCTTGACCTTGCCGTCCCCCCGGCCCTTCTGTGGGTGCCCTCGCCAGGTGAGCGATGGGAGGTGCCTAGGAGGTGCCTTCTCAGTAGTAACCCCCGTTGCAGCATCTCAGCACCTGCCTGAAGGTCATTTTGGTGCCAGGCAAATCACTTTTTCTTGCTCCAGGCCTTTTTGCATGGCGCTGCCGCTCTGGCTGGGTTTTGCTCTCTTGCTGTTTTGAATTGACGTAGCGCCTCCTCCTTTTGTGCCAAACCCATAAAATTCTCCTATTCAGCCATTCATTTGCATCACAAATAAATGCAGCATTTGAAAGCAGCCCTGTGGAGGGACATTTTTTAATGTTGGATGTTTATTCTGCTTTTATATTTGCTGGAAGCCGCCCAGAGTGGCTGGGGTGCAAATAATAAAATTACTATTATTATTAAGCGACCACCCATGTCACAACTTTTGCACGCTGCTATCGGGTGTCTGGAGCAAATGGGAGGCCGCTTGGGCTCTCCTTCCCTTCCGACGCAAACCTCCAGCTCCCCTCTTCTCGCCCCACAGGCTGAAGACCATCAACCTGGTGATCCGCAGCACGCAAGGGGCAGAGGAGCTGGTCCGCAAGTACGAGGAGCAGCTGAAGGATGTGCAAGCAGTGCCCTCTGACCTCAAGGCCCTGGAGGCCACCAGGACGGAGCTGAAGGTGCCTGCTTGGGCCAGGAGGGCGGGGAGATGGGAGGGGGCCCGGCCCCAGCCGCTCCTTGAGAGGAGGCCTGACCCTGTGCATCTTCCTCCGCAGAGGCTGCGTGGTCAGGTGGAAGGGCACCAGCCCATCTTCAGCACCCTGGAGGCCGACCTGGGCAAGGCCAGCGAGGTGAACGAGCGGATGGTGCAGGGCCACAGCGAGAGGGACATTGACCTGGACCGCTACCGGGAGCGGGTGCAGCAGCTGCTGGAGCGCTGGCAGGCCATCCTGGCCCAGATCGACCTGCGCCAGAGGGAGCTGGACCAGCTGGGGCGCCAGCTGCGCTACTACCGCGAGAGCTACGACAGCCTCATCCAGTGGATCCAGGACGCCCGGCAGCGCCAGGAGAGCCTCCAGGCCATTCCCGTCACCAGCAGCAAGGGCGTGCGGGAGCAGCTGCTGCAGGAGAAGGTGAGGCAGCCCAGCCCAGCCCAGCCCTGCCCTGCCCTGAGCCTGCAGCTCTATCTCATCGCTGGGGGAAGCGGAGGCTCCCCAGGCCTCTGTCATTGCCTCCCTGGTGGTGGCCTGTCCTCTGCTGATTTTTTGGGGGGCCCTCTTGGGTCCATGGGGAGGCTGCCAGCGTCGCCTCATGGGGTGGCTCATGTAGGGGTGAGCGAAAGCTCTGAGCGACTGCTCCTGGCCTTCCCTCTGGGTGAAGCTGTCTGAAGGGCTCTTGGCGGCCCACCAGCTAAAGCACAGCCCCCCACCCCACGAATCCCCTCGCCTGATCTGTAAGGGCACGGGTTGGCATGGCAGTGGTCGTTCCTCAGCCCAGAGCATTTCAGCTGATCACAGCTGGCTGCGTGGTCCCTTCCCTGCCCATCCTCTCCCTGCGGGGCGACTGACAGCTGTCTTTGTCTCCCTAGAAACTCCTGGAGGAATGTGAGCGCAACCGGGAGAAAGTGGAGGAGTGCCAACGCTTTGCCAAGCAATACATAGATGCCATCAAGGTGAGGCAGCTGGGGGGCAGAGAGGCTGGGGTCCCGTGCAAATGGAGGAGGAGAGTTGGGGCTTCCAGGCGCTGACGCTGACGCTGCCCCTTCCCCCTTCTTACAAGGATTATGAGCTCCAGCTGGTGACCTACAAGGCGCAGGTGGAGCCAGTGGCCTCTCCAGCCAAGAAGCCAAAAGTTCAGTCGGCCTCAGACAGCATCATCCAGGAGGTGAGAGGGGCACGCTTGGGTGGGGGCTGGGGGGAGAGGGACCCTGGAGCCATCCTGGGCAGCAGGCACAGTGGAGATATGCCACACAAGGCAGACTGAGTTTTCCCGCCATAGAATCATAGAGTTGAAGGGGACCCCAAGGATCCTCTAGTCCACCCCCCTGCAATGCAGGCATCTCAGCTAAAGTGTCCATGACAGATGGCCAGCCAAGCTCTGCTTAATAACCTCCAAAGAAGGAGAGTCCACAACTTCCCAAGGGAGACCGTCCCCCTGTCAAACAGCTCTTACTGCCAGAAAGTTTCCCCTGATGTTCAGTGGGAATCTCCTTTCTTGTAACTTGAAGCCATTGGCTTGGATTCTACCCTCCAGAGCAGGAGAAAACAAGCATGTTCCCTCTTCCATGTGACAGCCCTTGAGATATTTGATGGATGAGTGGAAATGGGCTTCTGACCATGTGCTAGATATTTGCCTTTAGAGAGATCTTTTTCTCACTCTGCCTTGTATTGCTAAAAGAATTGGCAGGAGATCCAGAACAGACAAAAGGAAAGGCTCCTTTGCTCACTGCATATTTAGGACTGTGGAACTCACTGCACCAGGATGTGCAGGGATGGCTGCCAGTTTTGATGGCTTTGGAAAGAGAAAGGCACAGAGGAGGAGGAGAAGCTCCTGAGTGGCAACTAAGCCACGTTCTGTCTCCAAATGCCAGTCCCTGGGGAGCAGGAGCAGAAGAGGCCTTCTGAGGTGGCTCTCTCTGGCCGAGTCCAGTCAGGGGCCTTGGAAGGCCTGGGGGGCTGTAGTCTCGCCCCCCACCCCGCCGTGACCTTGCTGCTTTCTGGTCTCCCAGTACGTGGACCTGCGGACGCGCTACAGTGAGCTGACCACGCTGAGCAGCCAGTACATCAAGTTCATCACTGAGACGCTTCGGCGGCTGGAGCAGGAGGAGGTGAGTGTGCCGCCCGTGGGAGGAGGGATGGGGGGCAGCATGCCTTGGCTGCTTCCTTCTTCACTTGCCCCCCCCCTCGCGGTCCATCCTGGGCCAGAGCATCCCTCTTGCCTGACTGCCTCTTCCGCATGACTAACGCTGGACCGCGAGGCCCCCTAACCCGCCGGGGGGGCTCCTCCGCTGGGCCTGTCCTGTCTGCCAGAGGCACTTCCCAGATACACACTTAGTACAGCTGCACCTGCTTCTTGGGCGGGGGCTCCTTCCCGCCCGGTTCTCCTGTCCTGTCCTCTTCTGCTCTGAAATGCTCCTCTGTAACCTTTCTAACTCTTGATTTCTGCCCTCTGGAAGTCCAGCCACTTTGCCAGTGCTGTGTCTTGGGGGATGTTTGTATTGGTTGGGGATCTAATGGAGGGTTAAAAACCAGGAGGATCCGGGCCTTTTCTGCATCAGGTACTCCACTCTGCGCATGCCGACCCCCCCCACATGGACCCTGTTCCCTGCGCACACCTTGCTTCTCCCTCCCCCCCTCCTGCAACTCCTGTGGGCCGAACCATTTGTGGTTCCTAGTAGGTTGAGAAGGAAGGGCAGAAATTCAGATGCAACTGAGAAGGAGAGTTTTTTGGAGCGGGATGGGGGGGAGTCCTAGTCCTGCCCACCGTCTGGAGGCAGCCAGGAGAATGGAGGGGGGTTGCCATCACCGCTGCCCTGCTGCGATCACCTGCCATTCCTGCCACCGCCTGTGTTCTCCAGCCAGGAAGTGCCGGCCTCTTGGGCTGAGAATTCGGGGCTTCTGTCTCTGTGGTGCACTCTGTGCACGCTCCGTTTCCCCCTCCCTCCCTGCCTCGTGGGGAGCGGAGCAAGGGAGCGGACCCCTGGGCTTTCCACCCGGTCAAGCGTTCTTCACTTCTCCCCTGGCCCCCCCTGCAGGTGTTCCTTGGGGCATCTGGAGGGCAGGCCTGGGACCTGGCGATGAAGTTGGCAGCCTTTGTGAGCCTGCAGGGGGCCGCCCGGGGGCCGTGGGGCTTTCTACCTTCTTGCCGCACCCTTCCTCGCCTCACACCCCACGTTGGGCTGGCTCCTCCTCCCCACCTTTGCTGAGCGGATGGGTCTTCCCTGTTGCCACAGTTTGGGCTGTCGGTGGGGGGAGTCTCTGCCTGGATGGCATCTTGCTTCTCGCTGCCTGGTGAGCCTGGTGGAGGTGTGCCAACTGCTCTCTTCGTCCTGCAGCCATTTTGTCTTCCGTTGTGTGTGTCTTTGCCATCGTCTTGCGTCCGTCTCTCCATCCATCCATCCATCCATCCATCCATCCATCCGTCATCCTTGGTTTGTGGGTCTTCCCTGCTTTCTTGCCTGTCGTACTAAGTGAGAGACGTGAGCGCCAGCTTCTCCCGACTGCCACACGTCTTCCCGCAGCCTCCTGGGAAGAGCCGCCACCACCGCCACACCATGCCCCCCACCCCTGCCCCTCTCGCTCACCCCCTGCTCCAATCTCTCTCTTGTGTGATCTTTCTCTCTCTCTCCCCCCCTTCTCTCTGCTCCCTTTCCCTCCCGCAGAAAACCGCAGAGAAGCTGAAGGAGGAGGAGCGGAAGCGCCTGGCCGAGGTGGAGGCGCAGCTGGAGAAGCAGAAGCAGCTGGCGGAGGCCCATGCGCAGGCCAAGGCGCAGGCCGAGAGGGAGGCCCAGGAGCTGCAGCGGCGAATGCAGGAGGAGGTCAGCCGGAGGGAGCTGGTGGCCGTGGACGCCGTGCAGCAGCAGCAAACCATCCAGCAGGAGCTAAAGCAGATGAAGCTCAGCTCGGACGCACAGATCCAGTCCAAGCTCAAGGTGATCGAGGAGGCCGAGATCAACCGCCGGAAGGTGGAGGAGGAGATCCACATCATCCGCCTGCAGCTGCACGCCACCGAGAAGCAGAAGGCGGCCGCGGAGGGAGAGCTGCAGGCGCTGCGGGACAGTGCTGAGGAGGCCGAGCGCCAGAAGCGCCTGGCCCAGGAGGAGGCTGAGCGCCTGCGCAAGCAGGTCAAGGATGAGGCCCAGAAGAAGAAGGAGGCGGAGGACGAGCTGAAGCGCAAGGTGCAGGCTGAGCAGCAGGCCGCCCGCGAGAAGCAGAAGGCCCTGGAGGACCTGCAGAAGCTGCGCCTGCAGGCGGAGGAGGCCGAGCGCAGAATGAAGCAGGCCGAGCTGGAGAAGGAGCGGCAGGTGCACGTGGCCCAGGAGATGGCGCAGAAGAGCGCCGAGGCAGACCTGCAGAGCCGGCGCCTCTCCTTTGCCGAGAAGACGGCGCAGCTGGAGATGTCCCTCCAGCAGGAGCACATCACGGTCACCCACCTGCAGGAGGAGGCCGAGAGGCTGAAGAAGCTGCAGCTGGACGCGGAGGCGTCTCGCGAGGAGGCCGAGAAGGAGGTGGAGAAGTGGCGCCAGAAGGCCAACGAGGCGCTGCGCCTGCGGCTCCAGGCGGAGGAGGTGGCCCACAAGAAGGCCCTGGCACAGGAAGAGGCTGAGAAGCAGAAGGAGGACGCGGAGCGCGAGGCCCGGAAGCGGTCGAAGGCCGAGGAGTCCGCCCTGCGCCAGAAGGAGCTGGCTGAGGAGGAGCTGGAGAAGCAGCGGAAGCTGGCTGAGGGCACCGCCCAGCAGAAGTTCCTGGCGGAGCAGGAGCTCATCCGCTTGAAGGCCGAGATGGAGAACGGGGAGCAGCAACGGCTGCTGCTGGAGGAGGAGCTCTTCCGCCTCAAGAACGAGGTGAACGAAGCCATCCAGAAGCGCAAGGAGCTGGAGGAGGAGCTGGCCAAGCTGCGGGCCGAGATGGAGCTGCTGCTGCGGAGCAAGACCAAAGCAGAAGAGGAGACCCGCTCGACCAGCGAGAAGTCCAAGCAGATCCTGGAGGCCGAGGCCAACAAGCTGCGGGAGCTGGCGGAGGAGGCGGCCCGGCTGCGTGCCCTCTCGGAGGAGGCCAAGCGGCAGCGGCAGCTCGCGGAGGAGGAGGCCGGCCGGCAGCGGGCAGAGGCCGAGCGGATCCTCAAGGAGAAACTGGCGGCCATTAATGATGCCTCGCGGCTAAAGGCGGAGGCCGAGATTGCCCTGAAGGAGAAGGAGGCCGAGAACGAGCGGCTGCGGCGGCTGGCGGAGGACGAGGCCTACCAGCGGAGGCTGCTGGAGGAGCAGGCCGCCCAGCACAAGCAGGACATTGAGGAGAAGATCACTCAGCTGAAGAAGTCCTCTGACGGTGAGCTGGAGAGGCAAAGGACCATCGTGGACGAGACGCTCAAGCAACGGCGCATCATCGAGGAGGAGATCCGCATCCTCAAGATCAACTTTGAGAAGGCCTCTGTGGGGAAGACGGACCTGGAGCTGGAGCTGGGCAAGATCAAGCAGAACGCTGAGGAGATCCAGCGCAGCAAGGAGCAGGCCGAGAATGAGGCTGAGAGGCTGCGGCAACTGGCCCTGGAGGAGGAGAACCGCCGCCGGGAGGCTGAAGCCAAGGTCAAGCAGATCCTGGCTGCTGAGCAGGATGCAGCCCGTCAGCGCAAGGCAGCCCTGGAGGAGGTGGAGCGGCTGAAGGCGAAGGTGGAGGAGGCCAAGAGGCAGAAGGAGGTGGCGGAGAAGGAGTCCGAGAGGCAGATCCAGCTGGCCCAGGAGGCTGCCCAGAAAAGGATTGCGGCAGAAGAGAAGGCCCACTTGGCCGCCGTGCAGCAGAAGGAGCAGGAGCTGCTGCAGAGCAGGCAGCAGGAGCAGAGCATCCTGGACAAGCTGAGGGAGGAAGCTCTGAGGGCCAAGAAGGCGGCCGAGGAAGCAGAGTTTGCGCGGGTCAAGGCGGAGCAGGACGCAGCCCTGTCCCGGCAGCTGGTGGAGGAAGCTGAGCACATGAAGCAGCGGGCGGAGGAGGAGGCCCAAGCCAAGGCCAAGGCCCAGGAGGATGCGGAGCAGCTCCGGAAGGAGGCTGAGCTGGAGGCGGCCAGGAGGGCCCAGGCGGAGCAGGCGGCCCTCAAGCAGAAGCAGCTGGCGGACGCCGAGATGGAGAAGCACAAGAAGTTTGCGGAGCAGACCCTGCGGCAGAAGGCCCAGGTGGAGCAGGAGCTAACCAAGGTCAAGCTTCGGCTGGAGGAGACGGACCACCAGAAGAACATCCTGGAGGAGGAGCAGCAGCGGCTGAAGAACGAGGTGACGGAGGCCATGAAGCAGAAGGCGCAGGTGGAGGAGGAGCTCTTCAAGGTGAAGATCCAGATGGAGGAGCTGGTCAAGCTGAAGCTGCGCATTGAGGAGGAGAACAAGATCCTCATCATGAAGGACAAGGACAACACCCAGAAGTTCCTGGCGGAGGAGGCGGAGAAGATGAAGCAGGTGGCGGAGGAGGCCGCCCGGCTGAGTGTGGAGGCGCAGGAGGCCGCGCGCATGCGCAAGCTGGCGGAGGAGGACCTGGCGCAGCAGCGGGCGCTGGCGGAGAAGATCCTGAAGGAGAAGATGCAGGCGGTGCAGGAGGCCACGCGGCTGAAGGCCGAGGCGGAGATGCTGCAGAAGCAGAAGGAGCTGGCGCAGGAGCAGGCCAAGAAGCTGCAGGAGGACAAGGAGCAGATGCAGATGCAGCTGGCCGAGGAGGCCGAGGGCTTCCAGAAGACCCTGGAGGCGGAGCGCCGCCGGCAGCTGGAGATCACGGCCGACGCCGAGCGCCTGAAGGTGCAGGTGACAGAGCTGAGCCTGGCGCAGGCCAAGGCCGAGGAGGAGGCCAAGCGCTTCAAGAAGCAGGCGGAGGAGATCAGCCGCAAGCTGCACGACACGGAGCTGGCCACGCGGGAGAAGGTGACGCTGGTGCAGACGCTGGAGATCCAGAGGCAGAAGAGCGACCAGGATGCCGAGGCGCTGCGGAAGGCCATTGCGGAGCTCGAGCAGGAGAAGGAGAGGCTGAAGCGCGAGGCGGAGCGGCTGCAGCAGCAGGCCGAGGAGGTACCCCTTTCCTTGGGCCCCCGGGCCCCACCCCCAGGGCCCCCCACAGGGAGGAAGGCACATGGAAGCTCCACCCCCTCAGCAACCCAGGGGCAGGGTGGGCTGTACCACTTCAGAGGGCAGGTGGGGGGGTCACATTTTTGCTCAGGCTTTTGTATGTCTGATTAGAGGGTTGTGTGCCTTTTATGAAAACACAGTCTAGATAGTAGATGATCCTCTGTGTAAACAATCTCTGCATATCAAATGAAACTGGACTGCAAGGATAAAAGTCCGCTCCATCCTGTGATAGTTTATATTACTTTATTCTATTATTCATTTTGCATAGAGGAGCACTGAATAATGTGACCCCCCCCACCTACGTTCTGACATGGTTTTACAGTCCACTCTGCCCCCGCCTTCTGTTGCACCTGAGACCACCTAGGAGTCAAAGGCGGGTGGGAGAGAGGAGTGGTAGCCCAATTCTGGATGTTGTGCAGAGAAGGGCTGGGGTTCTGCTGTTGTTCCTCAGAACAGTTGAACTCAGGCTCCTTCATGGAGAGACCTGTCAAGAGAAAAGGCTGCCTTTGGGCATGTCTACTTTCCTCTTGGAAACTTGCTGGGGCCAGTGGTGGCCCACCCAGCACCCCTGGACTCCAGCCCCCCCCAATTCCTGGCCATTGTCTGTGCTGGGGCCCAAGAGCAGCTGGAGGCCAGATGTGCACAAGACTCGCTTAACCCAGAGAAGGCACCATTTGCTCCAGCACGTCCTGGTCCCACTTTCCAAGGAAGGGCTACAGTGTCTTACTAAAAACAGACGTCCCTCTGTGCCCCCAGCCCTCTCCCGCTGCTTGTTTACTCACGTGGAAATTGTGGTAACTCCCTAACTTCCTCATGTGCTGCCTCTCAGGGTCAGCCAGGTTGACCCTTAACATGTGCCCCCCACCTCCCAGTGCTGGCTTTGAATGTAACCTGCTGTGTCGGCGTCCATTGACTGTTCTTTGGGCACTGTGTGCATATCGTGTGTAAGGCAACTGACCTCCCTTTTGTCTCCCTCCCCCCCCAGATGCAGATGGCTCAGAAGGAGCAGTTGCTGCAGGAGACGCAGATCCTCCAGCAGACTTTCCTGTCTGAGAAGGACATCCTCTTGCAGAAGGAGAGGTTCGTGGAGGAGGAGAAGGCCAAGCTGGAGAAGCTCTTCCAGGACGAGGTCAACAAGGCTCAGGGCCTAAAGACGGAGCAGGAGCGCCAGCAGAAGCAGATGGAGCAGGAGAAGCAGCAGCTGGCGGCCACCCTGGAGGAGGCCAAGAAGAAGCAGGCAGAGGCCGAGGAGAATGTCCGCCGGAAGCAGGAGGAGCTCCAGCAGCTGGAAAAGCAGCGGAAGCAGCAGGAGAAGCTTCTTGCAGAGGAAAACCAGAAGCTGAGGGAGAAGCTGGAGAAGCTGCAGGAGGAGCAGCGGGTGGCCCTGGCTCAGACCAGGGAGATCATGATCCAGACGGACGACCTTCCCCAGGAGGTGGTTGTCCCATCCACGCAGGCACCTCAGTCGAAGGCTGTGCTCAACGGCCGAGACATGGCAGATGGCATCTCTCGGAACGGTGAGCCAGAACTGGCTTTCGATGGAATCCGTCAGAAAGTGCCTGCCAAGAAGCTGCTGGAGGCTGGCATCCTGAGCCGAAAGAACCTGGACAAGTTGACCAAGGGGAAGGTGACGGTGGAGGAGCTCTCCAAGAGGGATGACATCAGGAGGTACCTGCAAGGCACCAACAGCATCGCCGGCCTGGTGGTTAAGCCGACCAACGAGAAAGTGAGCATCTACCAGGCCATGAAGCAGCAGCTGCTCAGCCCAGGCACAGCCCTCATCCTGCTGGAGGCGCAGGCTGCCTCTGGCTTCATCATCGACCCCATAAAGAACAAGCGGATGTCCGTCAACGAGGCTGTGAAAGAGGGAGTTGTGGGGCCTGAACTGCACAATAAATTGCTGTCTGCTGAGAGAGCAGTGACCGGCTACAAAGACCCCTACACGGGGGAAAAGATCTCCCTCTTCCAAGCCATGACAAAAGATCTCATTGTGAAAGACCACGCGATCCGGCTGCTGGAGGCTCAGATTGCCACAGGAGGCATCATCGACCCCATCAATAGTCACCGCCTGCCCGTGGAAGTGGCCTACAAGCGAGGCTTCTTCGATGAAGAGATGCAGAAGATCCTCTCTGACCCCACAGATGACACCAAAGGCTTCTTCGACCCCAACACCCAGGAGAACCTGACTTACTTGCAGCTGATGGAGAGATGTGTGACCGACCCGGAGACTGGCCTCACTTTGCTGCCGCTGACAGACAAAGCAGCCAAAGGCAGAGAGCTGGTCTACACCGACCAAGAGGCAAAAGACGTCTTCAGGAAAGCCACAGTGTCCGCTCCCTTCGGCCAATTCAAGGGGAAGACCGTGACCATCTGGGAAATCATCAACTCTGAGTATTTCACTGAGGAGCAGAGGCGGGACCTTCTGCGCCAGTACAAGACTGGAAAGATCACCGTGGAGAAGATAATCCGGCTCGTCATCACAGTGGTGGAGGAGAGCGAGAAGAAGAGCCAGCTCTGTTTCGATGGGCTCCGGGCGCCTGTCCCAGCTGCCCAGCTGCTGGAGAGCAAAATAATTGACAAGGATCTTTACAACCAGTTGCACCAGGGGAAGAAGTCCGTGAAGGATGTCGCCAACGATGAGGCCATCAAGAAGTATCTGAAAGGCTCGAGCGCCATCGCAGGCATCTTGGTAGAGTCAACAGGCCAGAAGTTACTGCTCAATGATGCCTTGAAGAAAAACCTCCTCAAGCCAGAGGTGGTCCTGATGCTCCTGGAGGCCCAGGCTGGAAGTGGATACATCATTGACCCCGTGAGGAATGAGTATCTCCCTGTGGACGAAGCCGTCAAATCTGGAATAGTTGGCCCTGAGTTGCATGAGAAGCTGCTGTCTGCAGAGAAGGCTGTGACAGGGTACAAGGACCCTTACACGGGGCAGGTGGTCTCGCTTTTCCAAGCACTGCAGAAAGGCCTCATTGCCAAGGAGACAGGGGTCCGTCTGCTGGACGCTCAGCTTGCCACCGGGGGCATCATTGACCCCGTGAACAGCCACCGCCTCCCCCTTGACGTTGCTTGCAAACGAGGCTACTTCAGCGAAGAGATGCACAAGACGTTGTCTGCTCCAGCGGACGATGCCAAGCTGTACTATGACCCCAACGCCCAGGAGAAGGTCAGTTACGCTCAGCTGCAGAGGAAATGCCACGTTGACAAGCCGACGGGCCTTCGCCTGCTCTCCCTCTCTGACCAGGCCATCCAGCTTCAGCAGGAGGAGGTCTACTCCGATAGCCAGGCTAAGGAATCCTTTGGCAAGGCAGTGGTGGAAGTCCCAGCTGGCAGCTTGAAGGGCAAAACGGTCACAATCTGGGAGCTGATTCATTCCGAATATTTCACTGAAGAGCAGAGGCGGGAGCTGATACGGCAGTTCAAATCCGGCAAAGTCACCATCGAGAGGGTCATCAAAATAATTGTCACCATCATTGAAGAGACTGAGACCAAAAAGCAAGAGAAGCTGACCTTCAGTGGCTTGCGTGCCCCTGTGCCTGCCAGCGAGCTCTGGGAGTCCAAGATTATCAGCAAGGCCCAGTATGAGCAGCTGAAGGAAGGGAAGAAGACCGTGAGGGACCTCTCTGAGACTGGAGATGTGAAGAGGTACCTCCAAGGGAGCGACTGCATTGCTGGTGTGTATGTGGAAGAAACCAAGGAGAAGTTGAGCATCTATGAGGCCATGAAGAAGAACCTGCTCCTGCCCAGCACAGCAGTTGTCCTCCTGGAGGCCCAGGCAGCCACAGGGTTCATGGTGGACCCAGTCAGGAACCAGAAGCTGTATGTCAATGAGGCGGTGAAGGCTGGCATTGTGGGACCAGAGCTCCATGAGAAACTGCTGTCTGCCGAGAAGGCTGTGACTGGGTACAAGGACCCTTACTCTGGGAACACCATCTCCCTCTTTGAGGCCATGAAGAAGGGGCTGATCCTCAGGGAACATGCCATCCGCCTGCTGGAGGCTCAGGTCGCTACCGGAGGCATCATCGACCCCGTGCACAGCCACCGTGTCCCTGTGGAGGTGGCTTACAAGCGAGGCTACTTTGATGAAGAGCTGAACCGAACCCTCTTGGACCCCACAGATGACACCAAGGGCTTCTTTGACCCCAACACCAAGGAGAATCTTACTTACCTGCAGCTGAAGGAGAGGTGTATTGAAGACCCCGAGACCGGCCTCTATCTGCTGCCCTTGAAGCAACCTGAGAGACCCACCGTGGTGGAGACAACCCAGGTGTACACTGAGGCCGAGACCAAGCAGGTGTTTGAGGAGACCCAGGTTGACATTCCGGTGGGAGACAGGGCCGGCTCCTCCATGTCCTTGTGGGAGATCATGAACTCGGACCTGATCCCCGAGGAGCAACGCAATCGGCTGATGGATGAGTTCCGCTCCGGCAAGGTGACGAAGGAGCGCATGATCATCATCATCATCGAGATCATTGAGAAGACAGAGATCATCCGGCAGCAAGACCTCACCTCCTATGACTATGTCCGCCGCCGCATCACTGCTGAGGACCTCTATGAGGCCAGGATCATCTCCCTGGAAATATACAATGCACTGAAGCAGGGCTCCAAGACCATCCGTGAGATCCTGGAGATCGAGACCATCTGGAGATACCTGTACGGCTCCGGCTGTGTTGCTGGAATCTACATTCCATCCAGCAAACAGAAGATCAGCATCTACCAGGCCCTGAAGAAAGGGCTGATCAGCCCAGAGGTGGCTCGGCCCTTGCTGGAAGCTCAGGCTGCCACTGGCTTCATTGTGGAGCCCATCAAAAATGACATGTTGACTGTTGATGAGGCCGTCAGGAAAGGGGTTGTGGGCCCAGAAATGCACGACCGTCTCCTGTCTGCCGAGAGAGCTGTGACCGGTTACCGCGACCCCTACAGCGAGCAGAAAATCTCTCTTTTCCAGGCCATGAAGAAGGATCTCATCCCTTCTGAAGAAGCCCTCCGGCTGCTTGATGCCCAGTTGGCCACTGGAGGCATAATAGACCCACACCTGGGCTTCCACCTGCCCTTAGAAATTGCCATTCAGCGTGGCTACTTTAACAGGGAGACGCACGACCGGCTGTCTGAGCCCAGCGAGGTCCGCAGCTATGTGGATCCCTCCACCGACGAGAAGCTCAGCTATGCACAGCTCCTCAAGCGATGCAGGAAGGACGAGAACAATGGCTGCCTGCTGTTGCCCCTCTGTGACACTCGGAAGCTGACCTTCAGGGGCCTGAGGAAGCAGATCTCGGTTGAAGAGCTGGTGCGCTCCAAAGTCATGGATGAAGCAACTGCCCAGCGCCTCCAGGAAGGCTTGACCTCTGTGGAAGAAGTCTCCAAAAACCTGCAGAGGTTCTTGGAGGGCACCAGCTGCATTGCTGGCGTCTACGTGGACTCCTCCAAAGAGAGGCTGTCCGTGTACCAGGCCATGAAGAAAGGCATCATCCGTCCCGGCACAGCCTTTGAGCTGCTGGAAGCCCAGGCAGCTACTGGGTATGTCATCGACCCCATCAAGAGCCTCAAGTTGACTGTGGAGGAGGCGGTGCGCATGGGCATCGTGGGTCCTGAGTTCAAGGACAAGCTGCTTTCGGCAGAGAGGGCTGTGACAGGCTACAAGGACCCCTACTCTGGCAAGATGATCTCCCTCTTCCAAGCCATGAAGAAAGGCCTGATCCTGAAAGACCACGGGATCCGTTTGCTAGAAGCTCAGATTGCCACAGGAGGCATCATTGATCCAGAGGAGAGCCATCGCCTGCCTGTGGAAATGGCATACAAGAGAGGCCTGTTTGATGAGGAAATGAATGAGATCCTCCTGGATCCTAGCGATGACACCAAGGGCTTCTTCGACCCAAACACTGAGGAGAACCTGACCTACCTGCAGCTGATGGAGAGGTGCATGACAGACCCTGAGACTGGGCTCTGCCTTCTGCCTTTGAAGGAGAAGAAGCGGGAGAGGAAGACCTCCTCCAAGTCCTCCGTCCGCAAGCGCAGGGTGGTGATCGTTGACCCAGAGACCGGGAAGGAGATGTCCGTGTACGAAGCCTACCGCAAAGGCCTCATTGACCATCAGACCTATTTGGAGCTCTCTGAGCAGGAGTGCGAATGGGAAGAGATCACAATTTCCTCCTCGGACGGGGTGGTCAAATCCATGATCATTGACCGGAGGTCAGGGAGGCAGTACGACATTGACGACGCCATTGCGAAGGGACTGATTGACCAGTCTGCCCTCGACCAGTACCGCTCGGGCACTTTGTCCATCACAGAGTTTGCAGACATGTTGTCTGGCAACATGAGCGGGTTCCGATCCAGATCTTCCTCCGTCGGCTCCTCCTCTTCCTACCCCGTAAGCCCAGCCCACGGGAGAGCTCAGCTGACCTCCTGGAGTGACCCCACAGAGGAGACCGGCCCAGTGGCTGGCATCCTGGACACAGACACCCTGGAGAAGGTCTCCATCACAGAGGCCATGCACCGCAACCTGGTGGACAACATCACTGGCCAGAGACTGCTGGAGGCTCAGGCCTGCACTGGTGGGATCATTGACCCGAGCTCCGGGGAGAAGTTCTCCGTCGCCGATGCCGTTAACAAAGGCCTAGTGGACAAGATCATGGTGGACAGGATCAACCTCGCCCAGAAGGCTTTCTACGGCTTTGAGGACCCCAGAACCAAGACCAAGATGTCCGCGGCGCAAGCCCTGAAGAAGGGCTGGCTGTACTACGAGGCCGGCCAGCGGTTCCTGGAGGTGCAGTATCTGACTGGAGGGCTGATTGAGCCGGAGGTGACTGGCCGGGTCCCCCTGGATGAGGCGCTGCAGAAGGGCACCATCGATGCCCGCACGGCCCAGAAGCTCCGGGACGTGAACACCTATTCCAAGTACTTGACCTGCCCCAAAACCAAGCTCAAGATCTCCTACAAGGATGCCATGGACAGGAGCATGACAGAGGAGGGCTCCGGCCTGCGTCTCCTGGAAGCCTCTTCCCAGTCCAGCAAAGGCTATTACAGCCCCTACAATGTCAGCGGCTCCGGCTCCACCTCGGGGTCTCGATCCGGCTCACGAACGGGATCCCGGTCGGGCTCCAGGCGAGGGAGCTTCGACGCGACGGGCTCCGGCTTCTCCATGTCCTTCTCTTCCGCCTCTTACAGTTCTTCCAACTACGGCCGAAGATACACATCAGGTCCAAGCGGCGGCAGCAGCACAGATGTCCCCCCCAGCCTTGCTGGCATCTCGGCCCCCCACAGCGTGAGCTGCGGAGGAGGAGAAGGCGGCAGGAGATCTCTTGGACTGCAGGGGCAGCCGCAGCTTCCCGTGGCCTAACGTGCTCCCAGCCCTCCTGCCTCCTTAAAGCCTGAGATAACTTTTGCATTTATCCTGCTCTGCATGTGGAAAAGCTGCTGGCTAACCTTCTCATTTTTATTATTATTATTTTGTAATGTTTAAAAACACAATCTCCTTCCAAAGCAGTGCCTAAAGTTTAACCAAAAAAGACTAGACTAATATATTAATATATATGATTGTTCTGACAGTATTTGTATATCGAGAGAAAGAGAGAGAGCGTTTCTGTCGTCATCCTCCACCATCCTTTCCCCGCCCTCAGTTTAGCCACCTGGGAGCTTCTTTCTCTTTGTACCATCTGCAGAGTAGAATAACCCCAGGCAGGGCCCTGCGGATGCCGCCCTTTGAGCAGAAGCTGCACTCTGTTCTTCTCCTCACCAGCCAGCGACTTCCTCCACGGAGCCCCACCAGCTCCCTCCGTCAAAGGAGAGGATGACCCTCGTGCCAAGAAGCCTCTTGACCTCCTGCCTATGCAAGCTGTACCCTCCGCCTCCAGTCAGGAAGGAAGAGAGCCCCCACCGCCCCCTGGGCACCCCACAGCCCCCCTCGGCTGCCACAAGCTTCCAACGCCATGCCTGGACTGCTCTTACTCACGGGCCCTCGGCCGAACGACCAAGACCACTGCTGTCTGCACTCCACCGCGGCTGCTCTCTGGCTGGCTTCCCCTCTGCTGCCTGGACTCTGCGCTCAGACCGTAAGTGTGCCCTGGCACTGCTGCCGCCTCCTCCCTCCGTGCTGCTGCCGCCTTGCGGATGGGCCTGCCTGCCTCTCTCCACGCCTCCCCCTCTGCCCGTCTCTTCTCCCTGCCCACGCCTCCAACCTGCAGATCCTTCCTGGCGCTTTCTGTGGGGCTCTGCTTGCTGCGCTCAGCACACGGGGAGCTTTGCACTGCTGTGGGCTGCTCTTAGCTGGCTGTGACCTCTGCACGTCTGTCTGTCTGTCTGTCTATCTATCTGTCTGGTTCTGTGTATCTGGGAAGCGCCCTGTACGAAAACATGGACAGGCAAAGGTTAGAACTGGACGGTCTCCCTTGATGCCACAGCAGCTCCGCGAGGTCTGTTCCCTGGCCTCTTGCTAAAAGCTGTCTCCCCTGGGGATGCTCACGGCTACCACCAAGGCTATGTCTTCTTCTGGGTCTTATGCTTTCAGGGTCCTGCTTTTTCTTCTTATCGAGGGCAAGTGGCAGGATGGGGTGCTTACGGAAGCAGCCGCGCCCCGAAACGGGCACCGTCCTTGTGCTTTTTCTTCCCACCTGCTTTGTGTTCCTTCGTAATAACATGCGCTCTTTCTCTCAGACGTTTTCTCCTAGTGCCACCAAAGAAGCCCCCCTGTCGCTGGGAGAACTCCTGAGCTGGTTTTCTGAGGTCAGCAAGTCCTGGAGGAGCTCAGCCGGAGGCCCCGAGGCGGCAGCAGATGCGGCAGCCTTCCCTCCGCTGCTCTCGCCCACAAAGGTAACTGCGGGGCTCGAAATCTCCTTCCACTTTGGGCGGTGAGCTTCTTGCGCTGGCTTCCGGGGGCTGAGGTGGTGCTGAATGGAAGGCGGGCAGAGCTGCAGAGAGGGAGACCCAGAGAAGCTAGAAATAGAATATGTAAGTGCCAAGAGTGCTGCCCACGGATCTTGAGAATGAGAACAGTGGCCCCCTGTTCTGGGGAAGAGCCACCCCCTTTCCCACTGATTCTCTCCTCCTGAACCTCTGGGGCTCTGAGGCTGATGGGCCACTGCTCTTCCCCCAGTCTCTGGCCGGCGGCCTCAGCCTCTTCTCCTCCTTGGACGGGTGTTCAGGGTCCGTCGCGTGCAGGGAGTGGCAGGCAGGCAGGCAGGCGGGGGTCAGAGGAGCCAGCGGGGCTGAGCATGGCAGTGGCTTCCTGGCTTGATGTGATGGCATCATTGTCACGTGTGACTTCTTCTCTCTCATCCCATCCTGTTCTTTTTCTTCACTTTATTTAGCGTTGCTGGATGTCCATTTCAACTTCCTTCCCAGTTGCCGCGGATCTCGTCCCCCAGTGTTGGGGCAAGTGGGACAGCACTGAGGACCCAGGCAGACCCTTCCCCCTCCCTTTGCAGCCGCTGCGGAGCAGCTAGCAGGGGCCGTGGCTGGCGGTCAGGGGCCAGGGAGGCAGGGGCAGGGGTAGGGAGGCAGGTGAAGCCGCAAAGAGCCCTCCTCCTAGGCCTGGGAACAGCTGCCTGGCAAAGCTGGAGTGGTCCTCTGCCCATCGCAGATGAGCTGGTCCCCTGGCCGTGGGGGGAGGGGAGGCTGAGAGCTGAGGTGCTCTGGAGGAAGGCAGCCAGGCAGCTGTGGGCAGGGGAGCAAGGCCTTCGGGAAGGCCACCCTGCCTGCTGCAGCTCAGAGGGTGCTGCCTCCTGCCTCCCCCCACCTGCCCCCCACCCTCCAGCATAAGTAGGGTCAGGGGCACGTCTTCCTCTGCCAGGGTGCTTTTCCCGGGCTCACACAGGGCATTCCTGCCCTCCTTTCAAAGCAATAAGAGATGCAAAGGCAGCAGTAGAGCAGAGGCGGTCTCAGTCCTGAGGGGGGTTGTTGCTGGAGCCACAGCCCTGCGGGGTGGGGGGTGTCCTTGGGCAGTCTCCCCAACTCCTGCCTGCGGAAGCCAAGAGGATGCTGTGCCCCCCCCCCCCGGCATCGGAAGGTCCTTCTCCGCCAGCCCATCCTTATTTGCTCCATGTGAATCAAGCCATCCCATTCCTTGGCATTTGTTGATGTTATATTCTTCTCTCATTATGCAGTTGGTTGGTTTTTTTCTTGCTTTTGCATGATGTATTAACTCGAGCAAGCCTGTATCCATATTCTGTGTCGGCCATTGGCACAGGCTGGGGGTGCCCCCCCTTCTCTCCCTGCCCCCCCAGCTCCCCTGGCTCCCCTCCTGCCTCTTTCTGCTCAAAGCAGCAGAGGCGGCCCTCGTTCTTCTCAGACTAAACTGTTCAGGCTCATCTCTGTTTTTCGGGAGGCAGAACACTAAACCGCGACTTGTAAATATCATGAAGTGTTTGTAAAAACATGCAGTATGGAACCAGGCCCTCTGCACCAGGGGCAGTAAAGAAGATTCTATGAAATGGCTTCCGTGTGGTTTGTTCGCGACAACTCGCTCCTCTTCCAAGGTCACTGAGCCCCTCCCTAGCGCCCCAAACTCCCTGCCCTCCTCGCTTCAAAGCCCCTGGGTGGGTCCCAGCCTGGGGGAGTTGGCTGTGGGGTCTTTGCGGTGCTTCCAGAAGGAGCGTTCTCCACAAGAGCTTCCCAAAGTAACTTCAGACCTCCGGTGAGTAACTGACCGTGTTTCCCACATGGGCCTGGGGTCAGGGGCTGCTGTGCAAGAGTGACCCCAGGACCCCAGAGGAGTCGCTGGTGTGAATTCACCTCTTGGTTGGGTATGGAGAAGAGGCTTTGACGCTTCCCATGCCTTCCTTGCAACGCGTCTTTGCAGCCTGGTGCTCTGGAACAAAGCAGTCCATCTCAAAGTCACGCCAGGGTTGGAGCTACAAGCCAGGCAGGAGTTGTGGGCTCTGCTGCTAAGGTCCCTTTGCCCCAGGCTCCCACCCCACCATGCCTGCAGCCCGCAAGGGGGTCACAAGGCAACCCACCCTCTTCCCAAGACCTGTAGTTCACCTAACCTTGAGAGTTAGATCCCATCAGTATCCATAGAAGCTCATGAACTGTTACTAAGCATCTCTGCGTGAATAATGCCGAAACTCTGAAAAAAAAGAGAGGGATTATGAAGCAGGTATGTTTTAATTCTGGGAACAGATCAGGCTGGAAGCCGTCTCTGGCTAGGATGGGTCTCAGTGGGATTTTGGGAGCCTGAATATTCGTGTCAATGTTGCTGGAGCTGCCAGGCTCAGAACGCGGCAGACCTGCCTCCCTCCTGCCCACCCCCTGGGTCTGTTCCTGTTTCGCTCTTTGTCCCAGGGCATATAAAAGGCGGCTCTCTCCAGCTCCTCTGGAGGAGATGGCAGCAGGCCAGGAGCCTGGCTCCTCGCATTGCCCCTTTCCAAAGGCAAGAGAAAGCAAGAGGTTTTCCTTCCCTTGAGCAAACTACACTAATGTAGCTGTTTGGAAGCACAGCCGGGCCTCTTCGGTTTTAACGAGGAGCTTGGAGGCTCTGCTGCAGCTGGCAGCTCCTGGGCACTCAGGCTGGCAGGGATCCCTGGCGCTGTGCCCACCCCATAGAGGTGGGTGGCATGCCTGAGGGTTGTTCTATGGTACTAGAAACCCATTCCTCCTTAATTTGGGGGTCTTCAACTGGGGCACCTAAGACATTTCATGAAAGAAGGGTGGCCATCTAAGGTCAAACTTAGAAAAGGATAGCAAACGAAGACATTTTTGGAAGAAGAAAAAAGTCCTTTCAATTCACTGTTTAAGAAACTCAAAGCCAAATAATGTTTTGTGCTGTACTAAAGCCAGGCAAGGGTAGTAATACGCTGCCATCCAGAAAGGGTCTGCTGATTCTTTCACCAGGTACCCCTTCCTGGCAGGAGCTGCAGGGGAACCTGACATGGGCCAAATCTGCCCCATCCACCTTCCCATTGAGTACCCTTTTCCCCAAGCTGTGCCCATATCCAGTGGCGGAGCTTCATGCTCCGGCACCTTGGAGAGCAGGCGGGGGCGGGGCTAGCGTGCGTCCCGGGAGTGTCGTATGCCTTCTGTGGGGGTGTGGTGCCCAGCATGGGCGGGGGGGGCAGCCATGATGGCACCCCACCGGGATCACGCTGCGAGGGGCAGTGTGCTCTCCCCACACTCCTCTTCCTCCGCCAGTGCCCAAATCCTGCCCAAGTGAAGAGCGATGGGTGCAGAATGGGCAGGGAGCTGCCCCCTCCATTTTTTTATTTGAGGCCCACCTAGTCCAGCACTGTGGGAAGTGTCAGACTAGATGTCCCGGAGGGAAGCCCATAATTCCAAGCTGAGCTCAACCCTTGTGATTGCCAGAGAACGTAGCCATTGTGGCCTGTAGCCACTTGGAGTCTTCTGCTGTCTGAAGTTGGTGGCCATCTTGTGGCAATGAGTTCCACTGTTTAACTGTGCCCTTGATGAAGAGCTACTTTATTTTCTCTGTCCTGAAGCTCCTGCCCTTCAGCCTCATCGCTTGACCACATTCATTTCAAGTTCTCCACACCTTGCAGGATTCCACCACACTCTGTGGAAGCCCTCTCTCTCTCCTGAACGAAAGAGCCCCTGGGGACCAGCTTCCACCCCTGACTCATCATGGCTGCCCTTTTCTGAGCTCTTTCTCACAGTATTCCCAGTGTGGTCACACCATGGAGGTGTGGAGCAGGAATATAATGTCAGCAGGACCTGCCAATGCAGAGCCACACAGATACACTTCTATATCTAGGGAACCAGGATGGGGCCCCTGCTGTGCATAATTTCACAGGTGCTTAAAACAAACTGCATTTGCCATTAAGCCGCCCATTCGCGCCCTTTGGAGAGGTCCTCTTGGAACTCTTCCCAAACCTTTTTTCTTCCATCAACCCTGAATAATTGAGCGTTATCAGCAAAGTTGGCCAGGTAGAAAGCACACGTCCCAAAAACACGGGTCCTGAGGTGGGCTCCACAGTAACATGCACCATTATTTTAGATTCTTGTCCATCTAGAAATATAATTTGCCTCATTTGTGCCTCATCTCAGAAAAACAATTTCTGGTGCTGCCAGTGTTGGGCACCCCTCCCTCCCTCCCTCCCTCCCTCCCTCCCTTCCTTCCTTCCTTCCTTCCTTCCTTCCTTCCTTCCTTCCTTCCTAAATCTAAAGTTTCAAGGCCTCCTGCCTCCAAAGCCTTCAGGGTTTTCTCCTCTAGCCTGCATGTGGTTCCCTCGGCTGCAGAGCCTTCCTCCCAGGCAGCCATTTTCTGCTGCCGCCCAACTGCCTTGCACCTTCCCAGGCCGAAGTGCCGTCCCTCCGTCCAGCTCTCCTCAGGCCACCCCCCCACGGCCACGTTTAATGGTTCCCTCAGAGCCAGGCTGCCATTTCCGGAGGTTTGGGAGCGCCAGGGGAGCATGAATGGGCTGCCCCCGCCCTTTTCTCCAGCAGCCATGAGGTCCAGGCGGGTGGACCACAAAGAGCCACATTCTGCCTCAGTTCAGCTGGGGGGGAGGCCCTCAGGGCAGCAGCACCCTGGGGTGGCACCCTCTGAATCACCCACTGCACTGCGAGGGCAGGAGAGTGAGAGAAAGGCCAGCCTCTCCACTTGTTGACTCTGCCATTCTCTGTCCTCTGAAGCAAAAGGATGAGCACCAGGCCTTGTGAGCAGTGGCATGAGGGGCAGAGACACCCCTTTCTGTGGGGCTGGACTGAGACCCACAGCTGCCTCTCTCCCCCCCACCCTGACCCCTTGCAATGGCGCCTGGGAGTTGGGCTCATGGAGGGCAGCTCTTGTGCCCAGCAGCTTTGCAAGGAAGCTGCCCCTTTCCTGCAGCCACACCACTGCAGCGTCGTGCCAGGCCCCCTTCCCATAATTCCTCCAAGTTTGTGGAAATGGACTTGGCAGGCCTTGGGCACGAATCTGGAGTGGAATGGAAGCTGGGTGGAATTGCAGCTGAGGAGGGAGGGAGGCAGCCAGGCACACTTGCTCCGGGCCCTGGAGGATGAAGCTGCCCAGGGGCCCTGCCAGACATGCCCTGCCCCTTGCAGTGACGCACCGGGACTGCAGGGCCTTGGAGGCAGCCCTTCTTGGGCAGCAGAGTTACCCCACGTGGCCCTGCCCATTTTGCTGAAAGGAGGGGAGAGGCCGGCATGAAGTGCAGTTCAGAGTTGCTCACCTCATGTTTTGGGTGGTGGTGGCTTGGGGCTTTTAAAGGCATCAGCTGTGCAATTATTTAAGGGCTGGGGGAGGAGGGGGAAATGGAAGGTTTCAGCTGTGAATGGATGCTAGTCCCCCCACCCCTGCCCACAAATCTAGACAGGCAGCCGGTCTATCCACTGAGAACCAACCAAAGGGCAGGCCTGGAATGCCAGCTTCTCGGAGGCCACAGTCGCCAGATCTGCTAGAAATGGGCAGCCTGCTCTCTGCTGTGAGTTCTGTATCTTTATTCCTTGGGAATGTTTACTTCCAATTCCACTGCCCAAAAAATCCTGCAGG